TTATTTATGTCAACCTTTACTTGATTAGAAATTTAGTTTTTCCATTGATCATATGCACAATTTGTAGTTATATAAATTTGTTCACTATAAACTTCACAGAAAGGAGGAGACAAATAAACCATTATATCGCTTTGATCATAAAATTCTTAGTTTGGTGATTCTATACTTGAAGTTTCGAATTGCCATTTACATATTGAATAATTCTAATTATGTTAAACCTTTTGAATGTAGATTAATGTGATTGTCAGCCATTAAAGTGGTAGAATTGGTCGCGAGTTTGTTCCACGATTTGGGCTTGACATTTGACATGTGCCAAATAAAAGACAAAATCTGAAATTCTATACATATGATATTTGTAATGAATATTTGAGGATATGGAACTTAAAAATAGGTGAAGCTCTTCTTGCACCGTAAGTCCCAAACCAAATTTCTCTTGAACAAAAGATGAAAACTTTTTGAAAGTTATACAGTGAATTACAAATATTTTTAGATCAAATTCACACAGTCACATACCCAAACACAATGGAAGCATTTCCATTGCGAAGTCTAAAACATGCGAGCATTAATTTCCGGCGAACATTAAAGTGACCTCTATTGTTACCGTAGTTTTTAAGGCTACGTTGAGTGGATATAGGAAGGAATGCAATAGTGCTTTTCTGTAAGGCTAAGATTTCTTCCATTATTTACATTCTCATTTTGTTTATTTGGTAGAGTTCCTGCATCATATTTCACCTGGCCTCGCCTAATGGGATTCTCGTAAGATTCTCCACTAAGATTTGAGACCTTAGATTTTGCTTATAGATGCCTGTAAAAACATACTAAATCAAGCAGACTTTGGATTAGCCGGAGAATTTGGTGTTTGTTAGTAGCATAGATTCTCCAAGGATAATGATACTAATGTGAAATTTCATATCTTTCATGATACTTACCAATAACTTTCATTTTCCTATTTTTTTATGTAAAAATGATGACTTGCTTTATGATTTCAAAAATATTATGCTATTGAATTTAGAGGACTTGTGAAAATTTAAAGGGGTTTAACTTGCTTAGTCAAGGGATGTCATGGGACCTAAGCTCCAAATCAACCAGGGATATGAAACACTCAGAAACATTTATTTGAATGGATTTGAGATCTGCACCTTCTTATCTGGGCAAGAAATACCACTTGAAATAACAACTTCTCGAAAAGTTTACTGCATCTTATGGACACTTCTAGAAAGTATCAAATATGTATCTATTGGTATCTTATTAGTATGATTCAAATCTCACGTGGGTATGATTGAAGATGTTGCTCTATTTTTTGATACCATCATAGTTGTGTTATAAGAAAAGAAAGCCTGCCTATTGTGTTTGTTTACCAATATCGTTAATATGTGATTTACTTGTGAATGGTTAGTTCAATAGATATACTTCTTTTGTGAATTAGGCATATGTTTTTGAATTTGTTGTCATAATGCTCCCTATTTGTGGATATTTTTCTGCTAATATCAGTTTGTACAGGTTTGGCATAATTTCTATTAATATGGCAGTTCCATTGACACCTTCCAAGAGATCCTATAATCAAACCTCTGCTGCACGAAATGGTAAAGGCAAGTGCAGAAATTAGGAGCGTTCAGCTCGAATCTATAATTGAAATTGTCACTATACCTCATATTTCTTTTTCTTTTCCCCCCCAAACTATTCACTTTCTAGTATTGCACGCACATTGGTTTGGGTTTCAAATTATCTCGACTGTAGCTTTTACCCAATTTCATTGAGTTAATTTGGGCAAAAAATGAGATCCCATAATGTTAAGCGGTATGTCTTTGCCTCCTCAATTGCACAAAATTTTGTTTTTAAATGAAAATCAATGATTGAAACGATGTCAAACTCAAACTAATAGTTTAACTTGTAAATCCAGAAAATGGTTATTGTAGGGGAAAAAGTGGAACCAGATGTGTACCAAAGGAGGTTTAAGTGTAATTTTCTCTATTTAGTATATTGTGATTTGACAACATTACTGTACCCCCCCCCTCCCTCTGTTTGTTTTTTCAATTCTTTTTAATTTTTGGGGGTCTGATACTCTGTTCACAAGCCACGATGATTGAAGAAAATACAGCTCATACTTTGACATGGGTGTCTGCGCTGCTTACAGAAAAAACCACATCTCACTACACAAAACGCGTCATCTAAGCATTTCGTTGTCTCCTAATCTTTTCACTAGTTTAGAGATAAAGGGGTACCAGCTATTCAGCAGATAAAGGGAAAGCCGAGAAAGCAAAACCAAAGGGGGAGAGGCAAGAAGAGAGAAGATCATTCTTCTGGTGACCGTAATGATTTATTCACTAAAAAAGAGGATGGCTAAATTTATACATATATTCACATTTTTCCCTATTATGAATCTCTGTCTAGCTAATATATACATGACGGGTTTTTTCTTTTGTGGGTGGGGTTGATTACTATTCCATACCTTGTGTTACCACACGTATTTTTGAAATATATATTCATATCTCTCCACTTGCTTTGGCTTTCCTTTTGCTAATCAATCATGTGGTGGTGTATATGGGCAACCATTACTCACAAGCCGTTTTGGGTTGAGCTTAAGAAAGCTGCAGAGAATGTGGCTCAACATCACAAAGAATAGCCTATGATTTTCGTCCATAACGACAACACCTTTGATGGACGTGGCATTAAGACACTGTTATCTTACATGTTCAAATTACCAAGATAAGTAATGTAGCCTTTAATTCTTCTGTTGCTAGTTACCTTGAGGGTGTCACTCTTAAGTAATCACCTACTTCTTATGAGTGTTGGTTTTCGTCTCCCATTATTATGTTTCTCAATTTTTCCTAAAATTGGGACTAATAAAAACTCTTAAAATTTGTAGATATATAATATTTAAACTCTTTAAGTTTAAAATATTATACTTGAATAAAAAATACTTCAATCAAATATCAAATATTTTAAATTTTATAAACAAAATTCATGTTCTATTGTATCATTTATTGAAATAAAAATTCAATTTTTTTTAAAAAAAATTGTAATTAGTATACAATTATATTGTCTATTAGAATTTAATTTAGTCGTTTAAACGTCTAAATTAAAATACCAAACTTCCTCAATTAAATCTAAAAGATATTGTGTCAATTACAGTTTGATTCGTTATTTAATTTTTTAGTCTTATTGTAATAGACAATATAAATAAATACTAACTACGTTTTTTTTCAAAAAAATAAATTTTTATTTTTGATTTTATTTCAATAAATGACATAATAGAACATGAATTTTGGATGTAAAATTCATGTTCTATTATGAATGACTTAGACCCATTGTTTGATTTTTTGTTTTTAGTTTTATTCCAATAGATAGTATAATTGTATACTAATTACGATTTTAAAAAAAAAATTATTTTTAATTTTATTTCAGTAAATGATACAATAGAACATAAATTTGATTGTAAAATTTAAAATATTTTATATTTGATTGGAATATTTTTGGTCTAAATATAATATTTTAAACTTAAAAGATCTAAGTATTATATACCTACAAACTTTAGAGAGTCTTAAGTGTAATTTATTAACTGAAATATTTACAATAGGGTCTAAGTGTTACGTACATACAAACTTTAAGGGGTTTGTGTATAATATTTTAAATATTAAGGGATTTGAGTGATTAAGTGACAAATTTTAGGGGTTTAAGTATAATTCTCTCTTTTTTATTTTGTTGTCTTTTTGCCCAACCCAAACTAGTCGTTTTCAGCTGCGCGCGAAAACATTTGTTCGGTTTTCCATTCTATCCCCCAACCACCCCAAAGCCTCCCCTTAAAACCCTACTCTAACTTGGTCCGTCAATATCTCTCTCACGTGTGGACCATCAAACAGAGATCTTCGGCGACATCAGGCAGCTTTGGTTTTCCATTCTATCCCCGAACCACACCAAAGCCTCCCCTTAAAACCCAACTCTAACTTGGTCCATCATTCTCTCTCTCACGTGTGGACCATCAAACAGAGATCTTCGGCGACATCAGGCAGCTCCGGCGACTTCCCAGAACAGCGTACGTTTTTCTCTTTCTCTGCTTTTTTGCAATAGTTTCAATATAAATTTGTCATAAATTAGTGATCTCAGTTTGCAGAAAATCAAATTCATGTTTTCTTAAACAGACTTCTATTTCTTTTTTCTTCTTTGATGTTTAATTTTTTTTTTTTTTTTTTGGGACTGAGGATAAATCATCACCCAGCGGTTCAATAAAACTATAAATAGTTTTTCTATAATCGAAGAAATTGAGGGTTTTGAATAAGGAAATTCTAGGATTTGTTTTGACATTCAGCTGTTATTATTGTCCGAAATTGAAACATTTGTGAATGGTGTTTGATTCAACAATCTCTGATCTGTTGTGGCGTATCAAGTTGGAAAATGGAAGAATCTGAGATGGAGCTCTCCTTTTCTTTTCTTTTTCTTTTTTTTTGGAAGTCATATTTTCATGGTTTCTTCTTTTGGGTTTTGGGAGCTAGGTGTCAATCCTAAAAAGAATAAAGATACACACAAGAGATCGGGACACACAAGATTATTTGAAACTGTGTAAGTTTTGCAGCTTAATTATAATGTAATTGGTTATTTGGTTTATGAGTCTCATTGAATATGTTCTTTAGTGGTCTATTCGATCATTTGGGTTTTGAAATTGAGTAATTTGTAATAAAATTGTTCATTTGGTTTTTAAGTGTCATTGACTGTGTTTATTGCCTAGCCTCTCTATCAACACTAGAACATAGGAACAACCTTGAATTTTGAGGAATTGAAAAACTGGTGATGCCATATTGATTTAGGTATATCTTTAGGGTGTTTCGTTTGCTTTGTGTTTACTATGTTCGGAACTAATCTGATTTAAAGAAATTGACTCTGTGAATTGGTCTGTGAATTGACCATATTGGTTTTCTCCACTTGATCTCTCTTCGCATCCTAGAATTAAGCTAAATTATTATGTTTTATAATTTTTTTTTTTATTATGCTTTCTGGACAGAAGCATGCAGCCTGGAGAAAATGGTGATCCTGTGGGCAACGACTGGGCAGACGAAATTCTGGAGGAGCGGCGGCTTCATGAGGAGCCTGTAGAAAATGGTGATGCTTGGGGCAGCAGCTGGGCAGACGAAATTCATGAGGAGCGGCGGCTTCATGAGGAGCGGCGGCTTCATGAGGAGGAAGCCAACGGCTGGCCAGACGAAATTCTGGAGGATCTGCTTCGTGAGCGGCAGCTTCATGAGGAGCGGCTGCTTCATGAGGAGCGTCGTCTTGAGGAGCGTCTTGGGCAGCTTTTTGAGCAGTGGAGCATGGAAATTCACAGAGAGAGAGTGCGAAGGCTTCGCAATCACTTTGAGCAATGGATCATGGAACACTGCTTCATTTTGTTCGGACTGCTTTTTGTTTTTCTGGTACGTATCTTTAAAACGTTGAATTTATACTGTGTAATTTCCATTAATGGACAAATAATTTACAAGTGTAATACCCATTCAACGAATAATAGTTTAGATTTTAGGTTTTGATCTTGTAAGAGACATTAAGATACGTGATTTGTGATGTGGTTTACATCACATGGTTGTATGGTTTTCAAGTATTGGTGTCTGTTTTTAGACATATATCTATACTAATATAAAATGTAGGCTACTCCAAAACTTCTATCTTTCTTTTTTACCCGTCAACAATCCAATTAGGTCATCTTAATCTTTCAACCTAAATTAATTAGGCCATTTTAATTGGTAAAGGCCTGTTGCGTTTTGCTGCCAAGAACAGCAGCCCTTCATATCTTTCTCATCCACACTCAAGAATAAACAGTCGGTTAAGGTGCTCTTCCTTCAAGGTTAACATGCGCGGGTGTGTGATTTATTTGGCATTCAAGGATCCAGCTTCTTGCTTCTCTTTGGTAAGTACAAGACAGTGAAACCGTAACTGAGTAAGGTTTTAGATGCTAAGAATTTTGGGAAACTTACGTAAATTAACTTACTATATTTAAGTTTAGACATTAGAACTTCTTGCGAATAAATATTCCATCTGAATTCAGTTCAATGTATTATTACAATATCACCTAAGACATTCTTGGGTGTGATGCGAATCACCATTAAGCACCAATCACGAGTGAAGCGACTCACTATCACAAAGCTTGATGCTTAGCTTACTAATCTCTCCAAGGACCAGGTTGATGACATCAACAACCCAATTGATGGTCCTTACAAGCCTCCTCAATACAAGCACCATGGGAAGAGTGAGTGAAGCTAATAAAACATGACGTTTGAATGGCACTATGGTTCTTTTGATAGCGAAGAGAAGGATTAGTCTCCATATTGCAAGACAAGTTGGGTTTAATTAAAGTTTAGGATGGGGCTGCATGAGATATTATTGTTACTGCTTCAATTAGAGTTCTATTTCATTTCAATTGTAATTTTATTGAGGACAAACACAGAAGAATATATTGTTTGTTTTCAGTCAGTTACTTTTTTGCGATTTGTGGCTTCTAGTTTGCTTTAATGTTTGATGGTAAATTCAAATTTTACTTTAGTTTTTCAGATTCAATTCCCTTGACCACAGGGTATCTGGCTTGCCTTCTGAATTTGGTGATAGACATCAAATTCGTTTGTGAGGATATTTGACTGAAGTGTAGCAGCTTTTCTGTGCACCATGATCATTAGTGATGCATGTGTTCTTGTTTTTTCCCACTTCATTTTAGTTGCTTATTGTATTATTTTAATTTAATATTTTACCACTCTTTTTTATAGTGTTGCTCAAGTGCCGTAGGTTTGAGTACACTGTACACTGCATCAAGTCTTGAATTGTCGAATTTGCAAATTCATTTCTCAGCTTTCTCTTATTCAAGAGTGCAAAGCTAATGAAAAAAAGTAGGTTAATTGTGTTGCTTGTTTGCCTTAGTGAATCAATTGGAACTCATATTCTGTTCTTTTCACTAACAACCTAATCTTTTGTTAGCTCTTTTTACTTTCATTTTTTGCCCGCATGTTTTAGTCTTAAAGGAATGGTAGATTAGCAGCATTAGGCTGAAAGTGGAACCACAATTTGGTTTGGCCTTCATTTTTCATGGTTTCTAGAATTTAGAAATGAAGCTGAAACTACTAATGTCAAATGCTAATTTTGTTGCTTATCCTCCTTTCTAGGCAATGGTGGTCCAATGGATGTGGATCAGGTGATTTTGATGATTTTACAGTGACAAAGTTTACACCACCAAGGTTTGTCATATTTACAACGCATCATTTCTCTTTCTTAACGATGTATTATCGTTTGGAGATAATAGAGTTTTTAAAGTTCAAAATTGACATGGAGAAAATATAGGAGATGCACCCTCTTATTGTTAAAATGTGATACATAAAGAAAGAAAGAGCATATTCTTTGAAGTTATATTTGCTGAAATCAAGTCAATTAGAAGACCAGATAGGGGACAAAAATTTGGATTCTCACTACATTGGTGAATTTTTTTTTTTTTAAACAAGGGTTCAGAATCAGGTTTGCAATTCCAAGTCGATATTATTAAATGCGGTGATCAAGTTATATGGAAGTTTCCTTCATGTGTCCTTAATGGTTTTCTGGGATATAAGAGATTTTTTATTGGATGTACTAAATCTTTTGAACCAAGTTTAAGGACAAGCTTTTGGTTAACATGTGTATGAAAGACTTGGTTATACTTTTGGAAGAAACAAATAAGTCAAGAGGAAATTACTGCTGGATGCACTATTCTGGTGCCTGCTTCGTTTGGTTTTGATACGGATGTGTTTGAAACGGAGGAGAACTTGGCCTGTGGCTCGGGAGAAAGAACCAAATTCTCTGTTTCGGTGGGCGATTCCACAGCGGACTCCTATTCCCTTTGTTGTATGACATCTTTGATTGGTGTAATGTACATAGGTTCAATTTATGCAGCTAATTTGTGCTTGTAATGTTAGTTGACTCCCTAAATTGCATGATACGCCGCTGAACAAATTCTGGATGGAACAAGCTTTGCATAAAAACTTGCCTATCTTGTCAAAATGTTAAGAATTTAAGTTTAAGGTAGTTAATTAGTTTATCTCTAGCATCATTAGTTTTTTTTGGTGTGTCTTTTCCACCAATGAAAATAAATTCATGTTATGTGGCAAAAGCAGGCAATCAAGAGGCATTCCTCAACCCATGTGTAGACATAACATACAAAAGTCTATGTATTGACCTCAAAAAAAAAGTTATGCTTCTTTAATACCTTGCTAATATTGTCTTCTTATTTATCATAAATTATGTAATCTTATATTAATGTTTTGTTCCAGTTGCAGATTGAAGCATTAACAACAGAAAATCGTCAGATGCTAAGAAGTTGGAATTTACACTAGGAAAATCTTACACGTGGTTCATTCAACTAGTGTATATTGTGATTGTAAATTTCATTTGAATTTCTGAACTTTCTTTATAGTTTTACCTTAACTGTTACTGTTACTGTTTCTGTACGGGGTAGAAATCGCTACGGATCTCATCCCTCCACTTGAAGGATTTTGGCTTGACCTGGGTTAACCCACGCGGGCGACCCCCCAGTAGCTTTTACCCCTCAGTGCCCGCGGAAGCTTCGTCCCACATCGACTGAGAGTCGTCTCCCCTCCTCGCATATAAGCCCTTGCACTCAAAGGAGGAGGTACCCACTAGCGACCTGATCAGGTGCCTAGTGGGTACCTCCTCCTTTAAATGCAAGGGCTTATATGCGAGGGGGGAGACGACTCTCAGTCGATGTGGGACGTAGCTCCTGCGGGTACTGAGAGATAAAGGCTACTGGGGGATCGCCCACGTGGATTAATCCAGGTCAAACCGAAATCCTTAGTAGAGGGTTCTACCCCTTACAGTTTTATATGAAATGATGTTGTATCTCATATATATATGAATCAAATGCTCGTTTTGTTTTTATCCAATCATGAAAGTCTATTAATAGCTGAACTGCCAGTTGTTTTGTATGGTTTAGGGATGTGATTGTCAATTTCAATTCCCCGCGACTTTTGTTCATTTCATTACCATGTTCAGATCATCTATTTCTCTATCTTATGTGGCTGGCTGTGTGTGACCGAGACAGGTCAAAGGCTTTCTTGTTCCAGTCTCTGTAGAATCTGTTTACTTGCTTTTGTGAGTGTTTTTCTGGGGTGTTGTGTAATAGAACAAGTACTTTCTTTGTTCAACTGAATTTGTGAGGTGGAAGTTCAATGACATCATTCTAACCGCAATATTCGACCATATAATTTAACCTATTATCAGTAATCGATATATTAGAACATATTTTTTAGTTCAAAATTTTTTCTAGTTGATGGGGCCTTCTGCCACCACGTAGATGAGACAAATCTGCCAGGTTGATAATGAGCAGGGTGTTCGTCAAGACGAGTTATTTGAACTTGACTCGAGTTCAACTAGTGTTTTAAATGAATTAAACTTGACTAATTTGTCATACTCTTTTAAAAAAATAAGCTTAAAAGGTTCGGCTCGTTTATATGTAAAATAGTAAAATTATTCGGGTTCGGTTTGTGTTCAGCTTGGACTCGACTTGTTTAGAATGATTAATTTTTAATCAAATCAGAGAAATAATTAATTGAAGTGCACGTAAACTATTCCAAATACCTCTGATTGTTGAACAACAAAAAAATCCAATACTCATTTATGGGATTGTAATATTGATTTCCATAACTCCAAAAACAGCTCCAGCATCCAAAGAAGCTGTTAGCAGACCCAAGTACTCCCAAAAGCTGCATTGGAAATCAATTAAACTCCCAAAAATATGTAAAAACTTGATTTTTTAGTTTTATGTATTGTTGGGTTCCTGGTGGAAATTTTCATTTGACTCTAGTTAAGGGGTCGGGTCTCGTCGAATTTTTTACTTTAATGTAGAATAGGGTTTGTGATCCACCCACTTATTAAGCATGTTTGATCAATCTATTCGATTATGACCTAAACTATTAAAACAAAAGTCATACCCGATGATTTTATATCAATTGGCGGTTGAATGGATGGATTGTGAAGAGAATTTTGCCAATACTAGATTGATTCATTTTGTATTTGTCAATTTAGCTAATATATACATTTTTATGAGCTTGAACCTGAGCCAAACCAATGGATTGTATCAATTAAGGGCAATTCTTTTTTAATAAAAATTGGTAGATTGTTATTACAATAAAGAATCAATTACTAAGAGTTTCAAAAAATAAATCCATAGCAGAAGAAAAAACACATATAAAAGGGTGAAAAGAAATGGGAAAAAGTGCACGATAAGACCCCCAATGATAGGGTTATTAGAAATCAAGCATTGTGCTTGACAAAAATTGACCTCTTGATTTTTTAGTTGACATTATTATGATGAATAATTAGGTAAGACACAATTGGTTCAACTATGGGCAAGAAAGAGAGAGAATAATCTTTCTAACTTTCCATTCATCGTATCAAACAAAAAAGAGAGAAAATATTTTTTCTTTTTCAGATGATAGAAAGTCTATTCCTCATTTTTTTTTATTTCTTTAACTTTTCATCTCTCCTATTAATCGGACTGTTAAAGATATGTAAGTGTGTGAGATAAAAAGGAAGAGGAGAGAGATATTTGAAAAGTAACAAGCAAATAATGTCAACATTGTAGAGTGTGGGTGACTAAAGTGATGGTTGTGTAATAGATAGAGAAAATTTGAAGGAGATGGTTGTGTAATAGATAGAGAAAATTTGAAGGAGACAAACGAAAAACGTTACTTTTGTCTATCAAATCATTATCTGACCTTTTTGTTGAGGTGATCACTCCTGATTGGTGGTGAGTAGCACTATATAAGCATGCCAGCTAGGTACAAGCATGGAAAATTTTCTCACTTGTTTGGTATAGGTAGAAAAAGAATGGATGAAAAATAGGATAGAAAATATAATTTTCTTTCTTTGGTTAGAAAGGAAAGATAGAGGGAAAGAAAAAATGAATGGAAAAGTAATCAATCTCGCCATCATTTTTTATTCCTCCATTTTTCACCCGAAAAATGGCAACAGCACCTGATATGTTGGTCAAAATGGAAAAAAATTTCTCATTTGTTTGGTGTGAGTAGAAACAGAGTAGATGGAAAATAGGATGAAAAATGAAAGAGGGAAAGGAAAAATAAATGGTAAAGTAATCTATCTATCCGACCATTTTTTATCCCTCCGTCTTCCTGGCGAAAAATGGCAACAACGCTTGGTCAAAATTGGGTCCCACAGCTTTTATGTCATGGCTAATTACCATTTACTCCTTTGGAACTCATGTATCAAGCCAATAGATTATTCATATTCTATTAAGGGCATTTTTTATATTTCATTAGCAATAAATATTCTTTTATTTCTTTTTATACCAAATAAAATAATAACAAATCTAATCCTTCTATTTTTCTATCTTCCTTACCAAACACAAAAGATGAAAAACTATTTATTTCCTTTAAAGATGAAAAACTTAAATTGCGTTTAACATAATTTCTCAAAATAAAAGTCATTTTATAATGAACTTTATACAATAGACTTTGCAGGATGAACTTTCAAAAATTACCAAAACAGGAGTATGTTTGGTGTCGTCCGTTTCAAACAAATCAATCAATAAAACATTGTCTAAGCATAACAATTGATACAAGGTTATTTAGAAAACTCATTAATGGAATATATCGCACTTTTATCTTTCTAAACCCTTTCTCCGACAGGTTTTATATTCTTATTAGTCAATACTAATGTTTAAAGGTACTATGTAACACCCAAAAAAATAAAAAATCAAACCAATGAAACTCAATGAGGAAAAGGATAGAAGAAAGTAATCAATTAAATAAACAACCAAGAAAATTGGATGGGCACATGAAGTCGTTGTCTGAGGCATTCTGTAACACAAAAAAAAGAAGGATAAAATACATTTTTAGTCCGTAAAGTATGTGTTTAGTGTATATTGAGTCCTCAATCTTTCAATTGCATCTATTTGATCCATAAAATTCGTAATTTATATCTAAATGGTCCAATCCCAAATGTCAATTAAAAAATCGTGACGATTATAGTCACGCGCCAATCACGTGATTCTTTAATTTGTGTTTATTTGGTCCACGTGATTGGCGTGTGATCAAAGACGTTAATGATTTTTTGACAGACGTTTAAAATTTGACCACATAGATACAGATTAGGAACCTTAGAGATCAAATAAATACAATTGAAAGATTGGAGATAAAATTGACACTACATGCATACGTTGAGGACTAAAAGTGTATTTTACCCCAAAAAAATTTTTTCGCCAATTAAAATACGCAACAAATAGCAGACTAAGCAAAAACAGTAAAGTGTGAAACAAAATTGCTAATACCACTAACAACACAAAGTTTGTCATATTTTAAATCAACCAACCTCATGGACTGAACCAAACTCTCAAACCATATGCAATTATTAATGTAGATGCTTGCCAAATTTTGTGGGGGTGTGTGTTGGTGGATGGGTGGGGTGGGTGTTGCCTGGTTAAGAATTACAGTGGCAGCTACATAACTTTACCAATACCACATAAACTAACACAAAAGTTTAACTTTTTCGTGTAAAAGTACACGTTAACATCCTTTTTATACGAAAACCTAAAAAAAATCTTATAAATCACATAAGAAAAGATCTCATTAAAAAATCAAATTAAAACAAATTCATAGTAGATGGGGCACTAAGCATTCCTAAAACTCGAAAATAATCATAGATGTAGCTGACGAGAATTCTCCAAAATCCATCTTCATCCTACAAAAAATATAAACATCACCAATTAATGCAAAAACAAACAAATATTAACAGAAAAGCTTCAATGGCCAACTGCATCAATTTTAGTCAAAAAATAAAAATTATAGAAATTCAAAAAAAAAAAGAAAAGGACCAACATGAAAATACAAATACAATAAGAACAAAGAAATCAAGGAAACAAAAATGAAACTCATTCATGCTAAATAGGCAGTACAATGTTCTAGAAATGGAGCAAATTTACTAATTTTCATTTTTATAAAAAAAGGTTGCAATATGACATTAGAATTCTAACCATATTTTCTAAAAGCAGTGTCTTAAAAGGAAATGTGATTAAGTTAACCCACAAAAAAATAATTTGTGTACATAATTTTGTATATGAAGTTCGGCCCAAAATGAAAGTCGAATTGAACCACAAATTAATAAAAAATAAAAATGTTTCAAGTTCTAGTTAAAAATGATTCAAACAAAAAAGGAATAAGAATCTAGCTCCAACATTCATTTCGTCCAAGCTGAATATTATAAAAGAAACATATTACAAATGCAACTCCCCCATTCTGTCATAGATTCGCCCTGTCACTTTACTTATTATTTCAAGCAGGGCCTCAAAGCTGCAACATATGAAAATATAAACTGAATAATTATGGTGAGTTTTAGAGAGAAACTTAAATTTTCTAAATTAGTACTACAAACAAGAGAGAGAGAAACAAAGAAATAAAAAGAGAGAGAATCAAACCTGTTATTGTAGGTGACGATGACTGTCTAAGGTAGCGTTTGGTAACGACTAGTTTTTGGTTTTTTTCGTTTTTGTTTTATTTTATGGCTAAAAATAAAAATAAAAATTTGTTTGGTGAATATTTTTGTTTTTTTTTTAACATCTCTGTTTTAAAAACAAGACTAAAATATGAAAACATCCAAAAAAAAACATGCGCAAAGAATTAATGAGCTCTTGGCTTCGATCCTCCATAGCAACAAAAATCATACTTCTCCTCTCTCTGCCCCTCTCTCTTCTCTTTTTCTCTGTCGATGCCATCGCCAATCGCCGAAGCCAGTGGTGGGGTTTCGGTGGTGGTTTTGGGTGGATTTCGTTGGTGGTGGATTTCGTCGGTGGTGGTTTGGGGTGGGTTTCATCGGTGGTGGGGTGGGTTTCGGTGGGTGGGGTTGAGGGGTCAGTGGGGTTGGGTGGTCAGTGGAGGTTGGGTGGTAAGTTTTTGGTATAATACCAGACAAGTTTTTTATTTTTGTTTTCACAATTTTTTAAATATAAATGACTAACAAATATATTTTATATTTTTAATTTTTATTATTAAAAAAATAAAACTTTAAAAACAAAAATATTACCAAACACGTTATGAGAAAGAAAGTGTGCGTGGGAGAAAGATGTATTGTATTTGGGGTGTTAGATAGAGTGAGAGAACAGAAGATATGTATTTTAGATTGAGATAAGTCTCAGATGCATATGAATATAAATTTAAATTTTTTAAGGTATAAATTGATATTTTTAAATTTTAAGAGTGTAAATTAAAATTTAAGTAATCTTTAAGGGGTACGTTGAAATTAGACCGCTTCTCAAAACTAGTCATTTTTTTTTTTTGCTAGTCAAAACTAGTCATTTTCACTTGTAGTGATTCTAGCTAAGTTGTCTGCTTCTGGAAATGGGGAATTTCACATTTAGGATGCCCGCCAAAAGCATTCTTTCAGTTTTCCGTTCTACCAACCAAGCAAACCAAACAACAACCTCCCCCCCCCCCCCCCCCCCTCCCTTAAATACCCTACTCTCACTTAGCACATCAATCTCTCTCTCACGTGTGGACCATCAAACAGATCTTCGGCGACATCAGCCAGATCTCAGGCGACTTCCCAGAACAGCGTACGTTTTTCTCTTTCTCTGCATTTTTGCAACAGTTTCAACATAAATTTGTCATACTTTAGTGATCTCTGTTTACAAAAAATCAAATTCATGTTTTCTTAAACAGACTTCTATTTCTTTTTTTTCTTTTTTTTTTTTTTTTTTGTTGCTTTTGGATTGAGATAAATCATCAACCAGCGATTCAATAAAACTATAAATAATTTTTCTATAATCGAAGAAATTGAGGGTTTTGAATAAGGAAATTCTAGGATTTGTTTCAACATTCAGCTGTTATTATTGTTCGAAATTGAAACATTTGTGAACGGTGTTTGATTCAACAATCTCTGATCTGTTGTTGGCGTATCAAGTTGGAAAATGAAAGAATCGGAGATGGAGCTCTCCTTTTCTTTTCTTTTGGAAGTCATATTTTCATGTTTTCTTTTTTGGGTTTTGGGAGCTAGGTGTCGATCCTTAAAAGAATAAAGATACACACAAGAGATCAGGACACACAAGATTATTTGAAACTGTGTAAGTTTTGCAGTTTTTTTTTTTTTTTTTGATATTGAAAATTGAGATATAAGAGAGCAATACAGTAAATTAAAGACGGTAATTTAAAAACAGTAATTCTAAGCTAGTCTATGGGGCATGCATCCAACTCTACTTGATTCTTTGTTGAGGTTGGCAGTTGGTCAGACTGCAATGTTCCAGTATAGCCCATAGCAAGTCCCCGTCTTGCTAGTTCATGTGCTGCACCATTGGCAGTCCTGCGTGTATGACCAAATTCCCACTCTGGATGTTGATGAAGAATGCCCTTAATAACTTGTATGATTGAGCTCACAGACCAGTGAGGTTTGAGATGAGAAAGCATGATAGAGTGAACAACGTTCTGTGACTCTCCTTCTATGAGCACATAAGACCATTGCTTATCATTAGCCCATTTCACTGCTTGCCTTGCGGCTAGAGCCTCTGCTATCAGGGGGTCTGTTTCTGCCACAATCTCTAGTATACTTCCTAAAACTGAGCCATCTTGTAGTCGAGCAATTGCTGCAACACATGATTTCCTGTTTCTCACTGCTGCATCAATATTAATCTTTATAAATCCTTCGTGTGGAGTTTTCCAAGTTTCTGATGGGCTCATGGCTGGTGTGACCTTTGGATGGAGTTTAACCTCACTGAATTCATTAAAAGCATTCAGAACTTGTTGAAGAAATTGATGTGGCATGACTAACTGCTTGTCGTGGAGAGCTTTATTCCTCCAAGTCCAGATATTGGAGGCTAAAATAGCTGTGAAGAGCAGCAGTTCATTGCAAGGGGGACTATTAGGTCCAAAAAGTATTGTAGGATGGAGAATGTTTTGAATCCATTCTTGTAGACTAAGATGAGAGAAGGAATCTGTGTGAAGTCCCCATTTTGTGAACCATACCATTCTGGTTAAGGGGCAGAGGAAAAACAGATGGGTTGCAGTTTCTGGACATTGGTGGCATATGGGACAGAGTATGTCTGGTATAGGAAATCTGCTAGCTAGTAATGTTCGGGTAGGTAGGCATTCCGCAGTCATTGGTTATTTGGTTTATGAGTCTCATTGAATGTGGTCTTTAGTGGACTATTCGATCATTTTGGTTTTGAAATTTGAGTAATTTGTAATATAATTGTTCATTTGGTTTTTAAGTGTCATTGACTGTGTTTATTGCCTAACCTCTCTATTAACACTAGAACATAGGCACAACCTTGAATTTTGAGGAATTGAAAAACTGATGATGCCATATTTTGAGATTGATGCCATATTGGTTTAGGAACATCTTTAGAGTGTTTCATTTGCTGTGTGTTTACTATGTTCGTAACTAATCTGATTTAAAGAAATTGACTATGTGAATTGGTCTGTGAATTGACCATATTGGTTTTCTCCACTTGATCTCTCTTCACATCCTAAATAATGCTAAATTATTATGTTTTATAATTTTTTTATTATGCTTTCTGGACAGAAGCATGCGGGGTCGAGTAAATAGCAATCACTGGGGCAAAAAGAGGAGAAACAAACCTGTAAATCTTGGGCAGCATCTTGGGCAGCATCGTGGGCAGCGTCTCGAGGAGCATCTCGGGCAGCAGTTTGAGCAGTGGATAATGGACAACCGCAGAGAGAGAGTGCGAAGGCTTCGCCGTCGCATCTACTTTTTGTTTGAGCAGTGGGTCATTGAACATCTCATCATTTTGTTCGGACTGCTTTTTGTTTTTCTGGTACGTATCTTAATAGCATTTTGAAAACGTTGAATTTATACTGTGTAATTTCCATTAATGGACAAATAATTTACAAGTGTAATACCCATTCAATGAATAATAGTTTAGATTTTAGGTTTTGATCTAGTAAGAGACATTAAGATACGTGATTTGTGATGTGGTTTACATCACTTGGTTGTATGGTTTTCAAGTATTGGTGTCTGTTTTTAGATGTATATCTGTACTAATATAAAATGTAGGCTATCTCCAAAACTTCTATTTTTCTTTTTTACCCCTCTAGAATCCAATTAGGTCATCTTATTCTTTCAAAACTAAATTAATTAGGCCAGTTTAATTGGTAAAGGCCTGTTGCGTTTTGCTGCCAAGAACAGCAGCCCTTCATATCTTTCTCATCCACTCAAGAATAAGCAGTCTGTTAAGGTGCTCTTCCTTCAAGGTTAACATGCGCGGGTGTGTGATTTATTTGGCATTCACGGATCCAGCTTCTTGCTTCTCTTTGGTAAGTTCAAGACTGTGAAACCGTAACTATGTAAAGTTTTAGACGCTAAGAATTTTGGGAAACTTACGTAAATTAACTAACAATATTTACGTTTAGACATTAGGACTTCTTGTGAATAAATATTCCATCTGAATTCAGTTCAATGTATTATTACAATATCACCTAAGACATTCTTGGGTGTGAAGCGAATCACCATTATGCACCAATCACGAGTGAAGCGACTCACAATCACAAAACTTGATGCTTAGCTTACTAATCTCTCCAAGGACCAGGTTGATGACATCAACATCCCAATTGATGGTCCTTACAAGCCTCCTCAATACAAGCACCGTGGGAAGAGTGAGTGAAGCTAATAAAACAAGACGTTTGAATGGCACTATGGTTCTTTTGATGGCGAAGAGAAGGATTAGTCTCTATATTCCAAGACAAGTTGGGATTAATTAAAGTTTAGGATGGGGCTGGGTGAGATATTATTGTTACTGCTTCAATTAGAGTTCTATTGCATTTCAATTGTAATTTTATTGAGGAAAACACAGAAGAATATATTGTTCGTTTTCAGTCGGTTACTTTTTTGCTATTCGTGGCTTCTAGTTTGCTTCAATGTTTGATGGTGAATTCAAATTTTACTTGGTTTTCAGATTCAATTCCCTTGACCACAGTGTATCTGGCTTGCCTTCTGAATTTGGTGATAGACATCAAATTCATTAGTGATGCATGTGTTTTTGTTTTTTTCCACTTCATTTTAGTTACTTATTGTATTTTTTTAATTTAATATTTTACCACTCTTTTTAATAGTGTTGCTTAAGTGCCGTAGGTTTGATCCAGTACATTTTACACTGCATCAAGTCTTGAATTGTCGAATTTGCAAAGTCATTTCTCAGCTTTCTCTTATTCAAGAGTGCAAAGCTAATGAAAAAACGTAGGTTAATTGCGTTGCTTGTTTGCCTTAGTGAATCATTTGGAACTCATATTCTGTTCTTTTCACTCACAACCTAATCTTTTGTTAGCTTTTTTTTCTTTCATTTTTTGCCTGCGTGTTTTAGTCTTAAAGGAATGGTAGATTAGCAGCATTACTCTGAAAGTGGAACCACAATTTGGTTTGGCCTTCATTTTTCATGGTTTCTAGAATTTGGAAATGAAGCTGAAACTACTAATGTCAAATGCTAATTTTGTTGTTTATCCTCCTTTCTAGGCAATGATGGTCCTATGGGTGTGGATCAGGTGATTCTGATGATTTTACAGTGACAATGTTTACACCACCAAGGTTTGTCATATTCACAACGCATCATTTCTCTTTCTTAACGATGTATTATTTTGTCTTGTAATTATGCTATCTTTGATGAAGTTGATGTTTCCACTGGTAGGATTTTAATGCCTAGTTAGTTTTTTTTTTTTTTTTTTTTTGAGAAACCAGAATTTATTTCATTTTTCAAAAAAATTACAAGAAGCAATCAATACAAAACACGTTACAAAGAATCAAAAAAATGACAGAATCTTGAGTATCTTGATTCCTTGTTGATGATGCAGCAGCAACTTTAAAGGATTCATGGATGCCAGATCCTGAAAAAATCATAGAAGAGACCATCTTGTCCATATTTGAAAGGCTTTAATCCTTCAAAACAATAAAAACCAAAGAACATCTCTCCTTCAAAGTCATAAACCCGCTTCCACTGCATCAATACCACCTGAATCCTGCGTCCAATCATCACAGCTGGAACCAAACCACCAACCTAGTCCTTTATCATCATACACCAGCATCATCTTTTGTCGAAGAACAGGCAGCTGCCTTGAATCTTGCAGCAGGACCAACTACACAGCACTGGGCAGAATTTTGTCAGCAAAGAAATCAGTCGAAAGCCTTACTTGATTTGCCAGCCTGTCTGTAACCCGATCAGCCTCTCTGTAAACATGATTCAGCTCAAAATCAGCTGATCCCAATATACCCTTGATCTGTCTTAGCCTTTATCATAAAAAATTAGCACATTTTTTATTCTAGCAACTGGCAGCCCTCTTCGGTCCTGCAGCAGCATCAACTTGACCATTTTCGGCAACAAATCAACACATGAAAAATCAGAAGTGAACTGATCCTTCATAGCCCTGTTAGCCAAAGCATCAGCAACCCCATTCGCTTCTCTATACACTTGAAATAATTGTGAATCCATATTCCCCAACAGCTCCTTAATCCTCACCAAAAAACCATGACAAGACCATGGACATGCCAAACCATTCTTTACAATATTCAGAAGCACTATTGAATCCGACTCAATCACAAATTTATAATCAACTAAACCATATTGTTCTATTAAACACAAACCATCCAATAGAGCCCTGAACTCGGCCTCCATGTTCAAATATATACCATAGAAAAAAGAGGCAGCTGCCACCATTCTTCCAATCTCATTCCGAACCACCACTCGCCCCCCCCCCCCCCCACACACACACAAAGCAAGCCCAGGGTTTCCCTTGGATGCCCCATCCACATTCATTTTCAGCATACCCATAGAAGGGCACCCCCAGCAGACCCAGGTAACTCTAGCCTGATTCTGAACACCAGTAAATTCCTCCCCAAATCATCCTCTTTAACTTTCGGCTTTATATTCTTACTTTGATAATGAAGAATACTACATATCCGTAAAAACATGGAATAAGACACAGTTTTCCCCTCCCCTGCTACCCTTCTACACCTTTCCTTCCACAACTGCCAATAGATAAGAAGTGAAATGTTCCTTACCAGACCATGACCAACAGACTGCTTGCTATAGAGTCTACAAATTCTTCTCAGTCTTACAAAAGGAGACTCACCTTGGATTAAAGTAAATCCCATCCAATTAGCCATTCTCATCCAAACAGCCTCTGCATATGGACACTGCACAAACAAATACTCAGAACGTTCCATATCATGGAAACACATCCAGCATCTACTAGCAAGAGGGATCCCCAGTTGCTTAATTATACAATCCAATGGAAGAGATCTCGTCAACAATTTCCAACCAAGTAACTGAGCACTATGAGCTGTCTTCATACCCCAAATCAACGAAGCAGTTTCATTTTTCTCCTGCTGACTCCTCAAATTCTGCCAAGCTGACTTAACAGTAAATACTGCAGATGAAGTATCCTGCCAAATCAACCTGTCCTCTTGCCCATTCAAAACCACTCCAGACCCACAAATCTCTCCTTTTAACTGATCATTCAGCAGATCATCCATTCTATCAAACTGCCACTGAGCCCCAGCCACCTCTGATAATCTGGGAAACTCACAAGGAACACCTTCAATTCTGCTTTTCAAAGGCCCACTCCCTAACCAGTTATCGCACCAAAAGTCACTGTTCTCTCCATTACCAACCAAAACTTTCGACTTACACACCACCTTATCTAAAAAAGATCTGAAAACATTGAAACACTTATAATGACCCTTCCTCATACATCTCATCAAATGCTTATCCTTCAGAAACTTGTTACTAAACACTCTAGCCCACAGAGAATCCCCTTTCATCAATCTCCATACTTGCTTCATTCGAAAGGCATCTTGCACCTCCTCCGGTGTCCTTAAACCCAGACCACCATCAAATTTAGGTACGGTCACTTTTGCCCAAGAAACCCAATGCCTCCTCCTACTATCCAATTTGTTTGACCAAATAAAACTAGCCATCATTGAATTCATACGAGCCAAAATATTTTTGGCAAATTCACACAGGCTAAAAGATGAATAGGAATAGAGCTCAGTACTGTTTGTAGCAAAAGAACTCTACCCATATTAGCAAGCAACTTAGAATACCAACCCTCTATCCGTTGTCGAAATTTCACTAAAACCTCCTCAAAATACCTGATCCTAGTCCTCCCATTAAAGATAGGACAATCCAGGTAAGTAAATGGGCATTTTTTGATAGGAATCCCAGCCATTTCTGACAGTATTAGCCTCCTAGAGCTCCCAATATGCTTTGAGACAAACATTGAGCTCTTAGGTAGACTTACCCTCTGGCCTGAACACATCTCATATTCCTTCAAAAAAATCATCAAGTGCTCCAGAGATTTTTTCAGCCCCCTTAAAAAAATTAGAGTGTCATCTGCAAAAAGCAAATGACTCACTAAAGATGAGCCTCTTCCCAGATGAAAACCTTTCACCAGACCCTCCTGATAAATTCTGGACAGACCCCTACTCAAGACCTCTTCAGTCAACACAAATAAGCAAGGGGAGATGGGATCCCCTTGCCTTAACCCCCTAGAAGCAGGAAAAAAAACCCCTTCTCAAACCATTCACACACACACAAATGTTTTGATTTCCCAAACAATTCCCAATGATCTTAACAAAGAGCTCAGAAAATCCAAAACAAGAAAGTACTTTCAACAAAAAATCCCACTCTATCCTATCATACGCCTTCATCATGTCAAGCTTTAAAATCATGTTCCCACCCTCCACCTTCCTATCCAAGTCATTCACCATTAACTGAGCCAAGGAAATACATTCCCCAATACCTCTTCCCTTGACAAAACCATGCTGCTCCTCAGACACCAACACAGCCAACAAAGGAGCTAATCTAGAGGTCAAAAACTTAGTAAAAATCTTGTAAAGAAAATTACATAAGCTGATTGGCCTAAAGTCAGCAAAAGAAACTGGATTAAGCTTCTTAGGAATTATCACCAACAAATTAGCATTTACAGACCTTGGAATTATGCCACCTTTAAGAAAAAAATTAACTGCCTTTAACACATCATGCTTGATGATATCCCAGGCTGCTTGAAAAAAATTTCCAGACCACCCATCCACCCCAAGAGCACTGTGAATTGACATAGAAAAAACAACAGATTTCACTTCCTCCAAAGATGCTTCCCTGAGAATCTCAGCATTTAACTTATCCGTCACAGATCTAGGAATAACTTCAAATAAATGCTCCTGCATCTCATGCCTTTCAGTTTTGTATAAGGTAGCATAAAAGTCCTCAGCACACTTCCCAATCTCCTCCTCATTATCAATCCATACGCCCTCCTCATTCTGAATTCTCAGAATTCTATTTCTTACTGCCTTGCCCTTAGCTAAGACGTGATAGAATTTAGTATTTTTTTCTCCCTCCACAGCCCATTTCACATTCGCCTTTTGCTTCCAATACACCTCAAGCCTCAAGACTTCATCAAGATCTTTTTGATGAGAATCAAGAGCTTGCTGGTTAACCAATGAATCCTCTGTTTCAATAAGGATCTCAGCAGCCCTCATCTTTTCCTCAAGAACTTTAATACAATCAAAAATATTACCAAACTCCTCTTTGTTCAACTTCTTCACATCCCATTTGAGATATTTCAGCTTTAAAAACAAATTTTCAATAGGATTTTCAACATAAAATCCACCCCATTTAGAAGCAATCAAATCCAAGAACCTTGGGTCTTCCACCCACATATCTTGGAATTTGAAATACGAAATTCTTTTAGCATCCAGAGATTTATCAACTTTAAAAAGCAAAGGACAATGATCAGATTTTCCCCCGCCTAAATGCAACACCTCATCTCTTCCAAACCCTAATTTCCAAGCAGCATTAGTAAAAATTCTATCAATACGTTGCCACATTCTAGCTCTCCCTTCTTGGTTATTACACCAAGTAAACCTACTCCCCACAAAACCACAATCCATAAGACCAGCAGCCTGGACAAAGTCCCCAAACTCTTCCATAGCAATTACAGAAGGCAAAGCACCCTCCCTTCTCTCATCAGCACTCAGAATAGAATTAAAATCCCCACCAACCATCCATTTAGACATTGGGCCCATAGACAAACCAAACAAATGAGACCATAAAGGTCTACGCAAGACATAGTCACAACAAGCATAGACAATGGAGACAAAAACCTCCTCAGTTCCCATAACAGAGACCCCAACTGTGAAGGCATGCTCATGACAATCCACTACCCTTACCACAACCCTATCATCCCACAAAATCCATATATACCTTTCGGCTAAAGGATTAAAAGTAAAATGAGTTAAACCCACACTAGAAGCAAATCCAGGTAGATCAATATGACCCAACTTAGGCTCCAGCACAGCTACTAAACATACATCATTCATTCTAATTATCTTTTTTAACCTTCTTCTTTTAGCTTCTTTACGAGCCCCTCTTATATTCCATGATAAGAAACAAATCATAATTGAGAATAAGAATTCATACCTCCAGACTTAAGTCCAGTACGTATTGTTGAAGAGGGTACCACTTTCAAGCTGAAATCATTAGACTCCTCCTGATCCTCTGTAAACATGATACCCCATTCTCCACTCTTAGAGCTGCCCACATCAGACAAATAACCCTTATTAGGGGGCTCCTTACTTCTGACCAGACCCATCTCATCATCTAACGACATGCCAAAACCCTTCCTAGCATCATAAGGGTGATCAACAAGGAAAGAAGAATCCTTTTCCTTCAACACATCTTCATTCTAAGACAACCTCCCAAGATCAAATTCAATAAAAGGCCTCTCTTGTCTAACATTCCCCGACAGCTCTACATTCCCAGACAACTCTACATTACCCTCCTGATTACTCAACTCCTCACTTACTACCTTCTCCATCACCTCTACTTCCTAAATCTCATTATTCAGATTCACCTCTTTGTCATTCATCACCCCAAAACACCAGCGTCCCCTATCTCTATTTCATTCAAATGACTCACTCTACACAAATCTTCCTTCTCTTTCTGCATACTACTCTGCCCATGCTTCGAACACCTCTGACATGTCATTCCCCTCTCTGAGACATCAGCATCAATATCCAAAACAGCAAACCTGTTACCTATCCCCTGAGTAGGAGTAGCAGGTTTTTGTCTATACTCCATTTTTTGTTTATCTTTCTGAACATCCTGGCCGACTACTTTCCCTTTAGGCACCCTTCCATTCATCCCCTTTATTCCTCTCCTTAACTGGATCAGCCACTTTATCAGTTCCTACTACATCTTCCTCCATACGTTTTTTCCTGCAATTAAGGTCATCATGACCTTGCTTCAAGCACAACGAACAATATCTATATTCTTTCTCATAATATATCTTCTGCCATCTTCCACTAACTCCCTCCATGTCTAACCAAAATCTCTTGGGATTGTTTGCCAGAAGATTTACTTCCACACATGCATGGGCAACCCCAGGCCTGGTAAGTTGAAGAGTAGGGTTATCTACCATTAGAATCCTCCCCACAGGGCTTAATATATCCCTCAGACTTTCCAAATTAAAAAGATGTATAGGCAGACCTGGAAGTGACATCTTTTGACCAGAATCTGCCTAGTTAGTTCATTGTTGTGTATATTTATTTTGTAGTAAATTGTTTGGAGATAATAAAGTTTTTGAAGTTCAAATTTGACATGGAGAAAATGTAGGAGATGCACCCTCTCGTTGTTAAAATATGATACATAAAGAAAGAAGGAACATATTCTTTGAAGTTATTTTTACTGAAATCAAGTTAATTATAAGACCGGATAGGTGACAAAAATTTGGATGCTCACTACATTGGTGAATTTTTTTTTTTTAAAAACAAGGGTTCAAAATCAGGTTTGCAATTCCAAGTCAATATTATTGAATGCGGTGATAAAGTAATATGGAAGTTTCCTTCATGTGTCCTTAATGGTTTTCTGGGATATAAGAGATTTTTTATTGGATGTACTAAATCTTTTGAACCAAGTTCAAGGACAAGCTTTTGGTTAACATGTGTATGAAAGACTTGGTTATGCTTTTGGAAGAAACAAATAAGTTAAGAGGAAATTACTGCTGGATGCACTCTTCTGGTGCCTGCTTTGTTCGGTTGTGATACGGATGTGTTTGAAATGGAGAACTTGGCCTGTGGCTCTGGAGAAAGAACCAAGTTCTCTGTTTCGGTGGGCGATTCCACAGCGGACCCCTATTCCCTTTGTTGTATGACATCTTTGATTGGTGTAATGTACTTATGTTCAATTTATGCAGCTAATTTGTGCTTGGAATGTTAGTTGACTCCCTAAATTGCACGATATACCACTGAACAATTTCTGGATGGAACCAGCTTTGCATAAAAACTTGCCTATCATGTCAAAATGTTAAGAACTAAGTTTAAGGTAGTTAATTAGTTTATCTCTAGCATCATTAGTTTTTTTTTGGTGTGTCTTTTTCACCAATGAAAATAAATTCATGTTATGTGGCAAAAGCAGGCAATTAAGAGGCATTCCTCAACCCATGTATAGACATAACATACAAAAGTCTATGTATTGACCTCAAAAAAAAATTTATGGTTCTTTAATACCTTGCTAATATTGTCTTCTTCTTTATCATAAATTATCTAATCTTATATTAATGTTTTGTTCTGGTTGCAGATTGAAGCATTAACAATAAGAAGTTGAAATTTACACTTGGAAAATCTTACACGTGGTTCATTCAACAGGGGCATATTGTGATTATAAATTTCATTTGAATTTCTGAACTTTCTTTATAGTTTTGTCTTAATTGTTACTGTTTCATATGAAATGATGTTGTATCTCGTATATATGTATCAAATGTTCATTTTGCTTTTATCCAATCATAAAAAATTATTTATTTTTAAATTCGTTTGTCTAGCATTGAGTTCCTCTATTGAGTTGTTGATGCTCATCCTATATTATTTTCCCTTTTAAGATGTGGTGTGAGGGGGAAAGTCTGTCAATAGCTGAACTGCCAGTTGTTTTGTATAGTTTAGGGATGTGATTGTAAATTTCAATCCCCCATGACTTTTGTTCATTTCATTTCAAATCATCTTTTTCCCCATCTTATGGCTGGCTGTGTGTGACCGAGACAGGTCAAAGGCTCTCCCTTATTCTTGATCCAAAACAAACAGTTTGAATCATTTCATTAAGTAGGAAAATTCGAATTACAATCAGTCACAATAAAAGCCTTAAGCTCTAGGGGTGGAGACCCAATCCATCCTCGCGGGAGTGAGTTATGCATCATAGTAGCTGTCACCCAATGAGCAGCCTTTAATTTAGTTCTAGGCTTGTGTAAAAAACTAATCCCGTGTAATCTAGCCATGCTTCTAATGTCTTCCAAAACTGTGCTGATTTTCCATGGTGGGACATTCTCTGTGGCACTCAGTTGATGGCATTAAGGCAGTCACTTACAATTGTAGCATTCATCAATGAGTTGGCTTCGACCATGAGGCAGGCATGTCGGATCGCCTCTGCTTCTGCATACAGACTTGAGGTGGCAAAGAAGGATTTTGCAGCACCATCCATCAGACCTCCCTTGGATTTTGCTCTCCCTTATTCCAGTCTCTAGTATCTGTTTACTTGCATTTTGAGTATTTTTCTGTGGTGTTTTGTGTAATAGAACAATTACTTTCTTTGTTCAACTGAATTTGTGAGGTGGAAGTTCAATGACATCATTCTAACCGCAATATTCGACCATATAATTTAACCTATTATCAGTAATCGATATATTAAAACATATTTTTAAGTTCAATTTTTTTTCTAGTTGAGGGGGCCTTCTGCCACCACGTAGGTGAGAAAAATCTGCTAGGGTTGATTGTGAGTAGGGTGTTAATCAAGACGAGTTATTTGAACTTGACTCAAATAGGAATTGATTCGAGTTCGACTCGTGTTTTAAACGAGTTGAACTCGACTAATTTTTCAGATTCGTTTTAAAAAATAAGTTTAAAAAGTTTGGTTCGTTTATATGTAAAAAGGTAAAATTACTCGGGTTCGGTTTGGGTTCAACTTGGACTCGACTTGTTGAGAAAGTGGAGTTTAAATAATTTTTTAGGTTTGTTTAAAAAAAGAGTTCGACACACACGGGCTCAAACTCTGTTCAACTAATATCCTTAATTGTTAGTTTTATCAAACATTATAACTTAATTTTGATCTAATAATTATAATGAAGTCACATTAGTAAATCAATAAATTAAATTAAATTTTAAATCCAAATATCATTACTCATATGCCAGCAACTTCATACCTACGTAACATCACTATATTCATATCCAACGGCTTAAATCTATCCATACATTTCCCCCGTGTAGTGGTTGATCTTCCTTGCTTCTTCCATTGGACCAAGTAGTTCCAAGATATTCTAAAAGTATGAGCGACATTTCTTGTAATGCTTGCAAAAGTTCCTTTTAACACATTTTTTTAGGGTTATTTTTTTAAAAAATTTAATATAGATCAACTCGTAAAGTGAGATCCATTATATAGAATTCGGTTCTTTATTTATATAATAAAGTAATTTACAATTCAAATTTCTAAAGATAAACAAAATAACTTTTACTATTTGCAGTTGAGATCGTTTTAAATTTTACTTTAAAATTAATCTAACGGCAAATATTAACACCCTAAATTTAATAGAAAAAATAGGCTCATAAAGATGTGTTTGAAGTGATTTTTTAAAAATATTTTTAAAAATTATTTCTTATAACTACGTTAAAAAAAAAAATGTTTAAAACTATCTCACCATTATCTCTACCACCACCATCCTCACCCCCACCGCTGCTGCCCTCGCCGCCACCGTCACCACCACCACAACCATTACCATCTCTTACCACCACCACTGTTGCCCATCATCTCTCACCCCTACTACAAATCGATACTTAAATTCATTTATTTCTTTTCTATGTTTGTGATTTGATTTTGAATATGAATACAAATATGTTTATTGTTTATAATTTTTTATTACTATGTGTCTTCAGACACAGACAATAACTAGTTTATTTATAATGGATAATCTTTAAAAATTAAAATAAAAAAAAAATATTAAAGAGGATCTGAAGAAAAAAAAACACGACACAAATTCTTAATTTAACTTTAGTTTTTTTTTTGTTCAACGGTCAGGGGTGTCAGACTAATTTTCTCTCCTGTTTGATCAAAGACAAGTTATCCACGCCGAAACTAGGATATTCATGACGAATAAATTTTTGATGGTCTAATCTCAAAAAATTATTAAAATTTAAATTTAAAATATCTAAATTTATAACTTGTTCACGATACAACCTGCGATATTTAACTTTAGTTTTACCAATTCAAGCAAAGCTGTCTTTGAAGAGTTATGGTCCCTCTACCTGCAATGGTAGAGTCACGTCAAGGCCGAGGCCATGGCCCTCCTAGGGTTTCTAACATTATATTTTTATCAATTGATTTTCATATAAAGTTCAAGAAGTTGTTAAGCTAATGATCCACCAATTTATTAACTTATTAAATATTAATATTATTCAAACCTAATTTATTAGTCTAATTTATTGACGTAAATCACTATAATTATTGGACTGACGGTGGATCCCATTTAATATTAAAATTTTCTATTAATCTAACGGTTAGGGTGAACTAGATCAATAAATTATATCAAGAAATATATTTTTTTTTGGCTCTTGAATTAGATTAAGCTAACATTTCTGTTAACTTATTTGGTTTTATCGGGTGAACCTCTTTGAAACTTTTTGAAGTGTTTAATCCTTTTTCTTTTTTTCCTTTTTATATTTCTTCCTTCTCTTATTGTTTTCTCTTGGAACATCCATATGATCTGTTCACTTGGTTGAACAACTCTGTGGAACATGTTTTTATTTTTTTAAGTTAATCAACTCATTAACATGGCCATGATGTAGTTGAGCAACTATATAATAAACTAAACCATGATTAAGGTACTCCCTTTTAACATTTCTTCTAGTGCTCTCTTCTCACCAAGTTATAAATCCATTATACGACTGAAAAAATGGGGAAAATAAAATAAAAGAATAGAATTATTGTTTCCACACATTTTGGATAGCCTAGTACACAGATTTTGTGAGATTTTAATTAAAATTAATTGTGAGTTGTATGCTTGATGTGGTATTAAAGTTAGGTTTTTTGAGAAATCTTATAGGTGGTTTAATAGTTAAGTCTGACATTTAATAATTCAGATGTTTTAGGTTCAATTCCTCCTCACACCCCCTAAGGACTAGTCATCCTTGTCCTATTAGGGACATGTATTAACCCAACTCAAATCACGGTGGCCAACCGTTGAGCTTGAGGTAATGATCGACACAAACTTAAACACCTAGTAACCAAAAAAAAAAGAGAGTTAAGTTTTCAAGAGTGGATGAAACTTAATATCTCAATTTCAATTACATGTCTTAGCTCTTAACAACGTAGGAGAACAAAAAACACGAAGAACATTATGATTCTTTATGTATCGAACCAAAAAAAAACTTTGATTCCTGAGAAAATAGAGAATTTTTTTTGAAATTATGATATTCTTGAATGAATCATCCGTAATACAAAGGAACAATATAAATAAAAATAACCAAAATTCTAATCATTCTCATAATTGAAGCAAAATCCCTAAAATTACGAAAACTAACCAAAATTAAACATATATATAATTTTCCTAATTAACATAAAAACATATGTCGTTTAGAGTCTAACAAAACTAAGGATGCTAAATTCGGAATCTCTAATGATTTATTATTAATTTTTGAAATATTTCTTAAAACTGCAAAAACAAGATTTTGATGGCTTAAACGATGGAATTCTGTCCAAAATTGAAGGAACTCATAGCAAAGCGATGAGTGTTGATCGTTGGCACGACCCAAATTAAACACCACTAGTCCCACTAAATTTCAAGTCTGATCCATTTTGCCTCTACTTTTACGTTTTTGATCTTTCATTATATTTTGAAGACTCGAGGATCAGCCTATTCCAAGTACTCTTTTATCACGTGTTCTATATACATCACTTAATTCTTCCGCCTATCCCTCAACATGCAAGTGCGGGAGTTTTATAGTTTCATTCTTCATTAGTGTAATAATATCTCTCATGCATCTCTCTATTCATTTTCGATTTAGATGTTTTTCACACAATCTAAATTTAGATTGACCCATACAAAACAGACCCAGTCATGGTATTTGCTAGGTAGAGCTCACCTCACCTCACCTCACCTCAACTATTCAAACTTGGCTCCAAAATATCTCTCTGCTTTCACATGTTCACTACTTCCTTATTATCGGGGCCTGTTTGGAAAGGTACAAGCAACAGCTTAGTCACCATACCTTTTTGCTGCTACATTTGCCTCAGTCCAGGGCAAATCTGGCCGGCTAATTCTTTGACGATGATTGTGATTATTATTGTTGTTTTTATTATTATTATTATTATGGGTTAACAGTATTTTTAATTCTTAAAATATGTCCATTTTATTAAATTTGTCTTCATTATATTAATTTAGTCAATAAAATTTCAATGTGTCACTTTTTAGTTCTTAATTAGACAATTTATTAAATTTTTTGATGAAAGTGACCATTTGTTATTTTTTCAAATAGTTGGCCCATTTGGAGCTATATTTTTTTGGGTGGTTTGAAAAATGTAATTAAAAAGTTAGAATTAAAAATTTTTTTGAAACATTTGCGGTGTTTCCAAAAAAAATCAACTTTTTTCTTGGAAGTCTTTGAATAAGTTATATTTTTCAACTTTTTCTTGATACTGATAAAAGCTACCCAATAAGCTCGAGTCTAAATAGACCAGATTTTTTTTCCTCTGAAACAAAAAAGAGCTAAGGTTTGAAGTAAGTTCCAAACAAGTTCAGTATCACGTGTACAACACATGATCATTCTGTCAAAAATTTAATGGTGAGTCTATATATGAATTATTTAAACATGAATAGAATATTTTAGAGACCAAACTGACAAAACATACAAACTTTAAGGATCAAAAGTATTACTAACCCTATTATTATTATCATTACTATTATAATTATAATAATAATTTTGATGTTGTTCCGGCTGTTTTCTCTAGTTTTTTCCAAAACAGCTTTGGAATAATCCCTCACCTCATGTCACCATACTTGTTGTCATTGACTATTTGTAGACCCTCCAGGTTGGGTGATTATTACAAAGAGCTTTCTTGACAAAGCCAGTATAAAATAATTTAAGCAAAGGAAGGTATTAAATAATAAAAATGACAAACTAACCTGGGCAGAGGGTGTGTGTATGTGTTTTTTTAAAGGAGTAGGCCCCTTGAAAACCAATTACAAACAAAAATCCATTTATACATTCAGATATATTATAAATACACATAAAATTATAATATATCTATACATATATAATTAGGCATGTTAACGGATTGAGTTTGTATCAAATTTTGACTGATTCGAAATTAAATTCAATTTTCAAAAGATCGATCTGATAATTCAACGAATTTTATTTTTATGGTCCATAACCGAGTCCGTTAACAATTTGGAATTTGATATGAAGATTCGATCTAATTCGAATAACTTAATTAACTAAAATTTAACAAATTATGCTTAAATTTCTACTTTTTTTAAAAATAATCACTTAATTTCTTTAATATTTATATAGAAATATATAAATAATTTGAATCAAATCATAATTAGATCAGATATAGATATATTTAAAATGGAATCTGTAAAATATAAACTATTAAATTTAAATTATCAATAAAAAATATTAATTCATATCTGATTAATCAAACTCACATTAGGATGAACACAGCCTACATATAATGGTGTGATACTTGCGTAATCACAATAGCTTTCAGTGCATATTGAAAGCGAAACTTGAGAAGACTTGGACCTCAGTGTGTAGACTCTCTCTCTCTCTCTCTCTCTCTCTCAAATTATTTGTGTTAATAAATCAATATCATCTTTGAATTTACTTACATATCTTTATCAAAAGAATGTGTAAACAATCTTTCCTTGCAATTTGGCTGTGACGTAATAGGTGTCACTATGGATTGTAATAAAGAAAAACACTTAATACTCCAAGCATATGAAATTTGCTTCTCTTCAACTCTTTTCAATATGATTATCCAACACAGACTAAGACCACTTAATAAAAGAGCATAGTGTATGTAACCCTAACGGGTAGTTCAAGTGATAATAGAGATGAGTTGTAAATTCAGACATTCTGAGTTTGAATATTGATAATTCTTTAGAACAGATTTATCTCTCATAAATTTTTTAATCCTGGCGTGAATGGTCTCTAAACTGGAGGAAAATTGATCGAAGTGCATGTAAACTGAGTCAAATATCTCTGACTGTTGAAAAAAAAAGAAGAAAAACATGTAGTGCAGAAGTCCTCGTTTTTCATTGTATTCTAAGTATGTATAAAGTTTGAATAACAAAAATAAACTATCTTATATACCGAGACAAAACTATATATATCCGATCATCTCAATTCCTGTAACTATAAACAAATTCCTTTTTTAACTATTTTTCACCATACACCAACAGATTCATGCATTGCCCCCATGCTTTAAGATTATCTGAATTTCTTGTATGACAAGTCAGCCTGACAAAAGTCCTATAGAAAATGATACGAGAAAATGATGTTAAGATTATCGAAGTCTGGTCAACAAACATACATAGGCAGCTCCAACCAATCTTGAATTGAGTTGTTTAGGCCAATCAATTTCACTTTCCACCTCAAAAATAATAATTTATCAAAAATTATTGACTTCAAATACTTACTTGATTTGCTGATTTAATCGATCGCTGTTATCGGTCAAAATAATATTATTATTGATTTAATAATATATATATCAATATTTATTGAAACTCGCTATCTATTCGATGGTTGTGACGGATTAAATCAATAAAACCCATTTTAAATCTTCCACTAAATATGTGGAAATCAAAGTAAAATTGAAAAAAGAGAGCCAGTTTGTTGAGCCACCATTGCAACCATTAGAGTCAGAAATCAGAATCTCAAAATGAAAAGGCACACACGAAAGAATCTCTCTGACTTTCTCCCTAATTTCGTTTCGTTCCCCCAGTTTCGTGTGCATCGGTCTTATCCCCCACCCCCGGGGGATAAATCATATCTTTAACTAAATCAATTTCCACATTATACATGTTTGTGTCATAATAGAACAATTTTATTATTTCGTTAAGTACTTTATTCGAACATCATTCATATGTATAAATATAAATACATATACAAATATGTATTGGGTTACATGACATATGTTACTAATAACATGTGTATATATAATTTGGTTTTAGCCGTAATAAAGCTTCCTCAATCACTTGCAAACCCATGGTCTCGTCTTCAATCCCAAAATAACTAACCATGTTTCCGTTTTTCAGTTATAAGACCTTCTTCTTTCTCCTTCTGTCCTTCCCTGTCTTTCCCGCAAGAACCTTCCCTGACCCTTTAACTGAATTAACCGTCGATGTCCGAAACAGCACGTGGCATGATTTCGGAAAGTTCCTCGATGCCGGAAAAGGCAGCGAAGTCACCGGCATGTCTGAGCTCAAAAAATACTTCCAGCGATTTGGGTACCTCCGGCCAACGCCGGAGATGAATTTCACCGATTTTTTTGATGAAAACTTCGAATCCGCGGTGACTATTTACCAGAAAAACCTCGGATTACCGGTCACCGGAAAACTTGACTCCGATACCATGACGCAGATTGTGTCTCCGAGGTGTGGCGTAAGTGACACGACCCACTCGTTGCATGTAACAAGGCACTATGCCTATTTCTACGGTGAGCCGAGGTGGGTTGGATCGTCTCCGATGACGCTAACTTACGCTTTTTCGCCGGAGGACATGATCAACTACGTAGCTTTACCGGAGCTAAAAACAGTTTTCCAACGCTCTTTTTCACGGTGGTCATCGGTTATTCCGGTGAATTTCACGGAGGCCAAGAACTACTCATCAGCGGACATAAAAATTGGGTTTTACAGAGGCGATCACGGCGATGGAGAGCCGTTCGATGGGGTTCTGGGAGTGTTAGCACACGCTTTCTCGCCGGAGAACGGGAGGTTCCACTTCGATGCGGCGGAGACATGGGCGGTGGATTTCAAGACACAGAGGTCAAAAGTGGCCGTTGATTTGGAATCAGTGGCGACCCATGAGATTGGGCATGTACTTGGGCTGGCTCACTCTTCGGTTAAAGAAGCGGTCATGTACCCAAGTCTTAGTCCTAGGACAAAGAAAGTGGACCTCAAAATTGATGACGTGCAAGGGGTCCAGGCTTTATATGGGTCAAACCCGAATTTCAAGTATAGTTCTTTGTTGGAGTCTGATATTTCTTCAAGTTGGGGGCTTCCATTGGAGAGAAGATCATCAAAGTGGGGCACTTCCTTAGTGATTGGAGTCTTGATCTTGTCTTTGTGTTTGTGATTTGCATACCTGATTTTTTTTTCTTTTTTTTGGGTCCTCATACTTACATAAAATTGAATTTTCTTTTGTATTTGTAAAAATAATTTACACATAAAAGAAATATATAGAATAGATTCTTTTGTGTTATGGACCTCTCGGTTTCTAAAGAAGTGAGATAGAGAGAATGAGAGAGAATTTTTTTTTTTTTACTATTTGAAAGACCGTAAAATGTTCGGTTGAGTTATACGTACTGATCAGGGATAGTTGAATTTATCACTACAACACCGCCGAAGACAAGTTAGACATTCAGCTCTTTCTATAGTATTTGGTTTATAAGAACTATTATCTCAACCGAGTTCGAATCCATGACTATTAGAAGAGGGTGAGACTTTCATCCTCTATTAAAACCATTTAGACTACCACCTCGGTGGTGTGAGAGAGACAATTATGGGAATGATAACATACCAAAATAGCTAAATTAAATAGCTACTTCAACGCAATTCACAATGAGTTATGTATGGTTAAGGGGGTTTGATTGGAAAAAAAAGGGGCATTTTAGATATTTTAAATTTGAACATCAAACTCCTTCCTTTTCCTTTTCCTTTTCCTTTTCCTTTATGTGTGAATAGGATATAAACGTCATTACACATAACTAAAAATAAAAAAAGACTCAAACACAAATTCAAGTGTTCACACTTTAAGACCTTACCACCACCGTCAGTGGCCTTCAACAGCCATTAGAAAATAAAAATAGAGGTGGTGGTCTAAGTCAAATCATGCTGCCTTGCACTATGGGAGCTTAAGAGCGTATGATGATTAACCAATTCATGGTCCACTTGGTCAAAAGGACACAGTTTCTTCCTATCAACCCACTAAACGGTTAATTGAAGGATAGTTGAAGTAATAATGCAGATGAGTTATAAATTGAAATATTTTAAATTTTGAATTTTGATAATTCTTTGAGTTAGGTTATGAAAAATTTATAAATTTTTGATAAATACCCAAATCCCGACATAGATAATTTATCTTTTAATAGATTACATAATAGACTAATCGAGATATACGTTAGCTGACCCAAATATCTTTAGCCGTTAAAACAAAAAAAAAAATCCACTAAACAACTGCAAAAATGTAGTAATTAAAGGTCTAATGTTCCTATCATTTTCACCTAAGCATGTGTTTTCGGTTTCCATTTCACACTCTAATATGGTGTGGTCAATACACAATGATTAAATCTTAAACTTTGTCCAGTTTAGCAATGAGATTTGTCTCTTAAGATTGAGTTTAATCTTAGAATTAACCAATTTTCTCAGCCAAAACCTAGGGACAATGTACCAACTAATTTTCTATTTTTAGCTAAAACTTCATTAACAACCCTTTCACACAACTTGACTAACTATAAAAACTGTGATGACCTAAATCCCACGTCACCTGTGAAATAGGTGCGGAGTGCTAACCAAAATTATGCACCAAAATGTCTATTGTTGTCGGATTAGTGAGTTCTATCACTAATCTAACGATTGCAAACAATTTGGTGCACATAATTTTATTCCCACATAAATGTAACATTGATCTTCATAATAAAAAATGTTTTAAAATTGTGAGAGTCTAACTCAAAATTAATATTTTACAAAATAAATAATATTACACCAAATTGAATTTACGTTTTAGATTTATAAAAATATGGACACTTACATTATTATTGCAAATCGATGTGCTTCTTCTTATTATTGAATGATCAATCTCAGCTCAAAGATCCAATTTAAAAATACAGATCAAGTCAAAGTCACAGGTGCAGTCAAGCTCAGATTAAAAATATAAGTCAACAAGGACCAAACTCATCATTTTCAAAAATCCAATCTACTAGTAATGCAAGTGAAATCTCTACCTTAAGAAGGAAACCAAAGTGCACATTATAAACCTCAACCACCCCGTCTGTTATGTCAACATCACGATGTTACCCACTCATGTCACAAGGGTGATGCCTTAATCAAAACTCCCCGCAATGGTGCCTCCATCAATGCTCGTTTTGGGGCACTATAAAAATTGTACTCTCCTATAAGTTATAAGCCCTCCATGTGTAAGTGGGGCATCACACACATTTCAACTCATTACACCTCTCAAGTAATAAAATTTTTTGACCACCGTCACCATTCTTAGTGAAGTAGGTCACTCAAACCGAACCACCTAATCTTTATATTTATTTGTGTTGATCCTTCTTTATTTTATCCTTAATTGATTTTACATAAACTTACTTTTGTTCATTATTAATTTTTATTATTTTGCAATAAAATCCAATCCCTGACGATGGAGATCAAATCACCTCCTGAAAAAGAAAACCCAAAATTGCATATGTAGTCTACAAAATAGAGAGACATTTAAAGCTCTTTATCGAGATTAAAAAAGCCTAATTAATTTCTCTTTTTACGCTAATTCAAAATGAGAAGACATGATTTTTAATAACTACTTGAAACAAGTCAAATGATAAAAAAAAAAGTCACAAAAGAACTCGATTTTGTAGGAAGTTATTCCAGTATGTGTATTTCAACGATACTTCATACAAAAAGGTTTACAATCAGTTCTGGTAAAACTTAATATTATGTAAATAATTGTATATAAAAATAGGATGGTATAATACAAAAAAATTTGCCAAGACAGAAAAAAAATTATGTTAGACATGATGCGACCAGGTCCGGACTTAGTTCATAGGTTAAGCCTAAACAATCAAAAGACTGGCTAGACTAGCTCATGATCTCAGTCCAGTTCAAAGTCCAAGAAGAATCAATGCACGTGAGAGAGCAATCATCTGGACAGTCATTACTCTAAGATAGTATTTATTCTCAATAATAGGCATCCTCCAGATCACGTCACTGTCATAGTTATGACTCTGTACCTATAAATTGTACACATGGGGGCAAAGGACACATACCTCACATTGAGCATACTCTTGTTTTATCTCTCTCTCTCTCTCTATTACCTTTTACTCTCATTAATAGAGTTTTTCGACCACCGTTGCTACCTTTAGTGGTTAAATTACTTAAACTCAATCACTTAATTTTTATCTCTTATTATTAATTGTTTCATTAATTATTTTATGTCTCAAACTTGACTGATTTAATTATGCATAATGCACATAAATTTATTTTTGTACATTATCATACTAGATTACTATTTTTTATCTACTCTATGGTATGTTAGAATTACTACATTACTTTTAGGCAACAAATGTAAGAATTTTAATATTCTAAGCCACAAATTAAAATTTTAAAATCTTTAAGAGTGAAAAATATCATTTACCAAAAATACAAAACAATTGTGACCGATAATCAAATCGAGTTTTGTGCCTTTAAAAAGTGTTATAGGTTCTTTTAAAAAAATGAGTTTAAAATTAACTTATTTAAAATACGGATTAAATTCGAGTTAAAGTTTTATCCGAGCCACTGGCCAATTGTCAGCCTAGGAAGGGGAGTCTGGAGGGTACATTAAAACCCTAAACCCTAACGTAAAGCCCCCCTCATACTCAACGCTCTGGGCATCATACTCGAGTACTTATTTTGTTTCCGATTCTTTCTTCAATGGCTTCGAGATGCAACAGAATCATTAACAGAGCTTCGATATCGTCTCTCAAATCCGCCATTAAATCGAATTCTCAAACAGCTTCGTTGGCTTCTGTTAACAGATCTGCAACGACGTCGTCTTCAAGGCTCCCTCTTCCATCCAGATCCACTACATCACCGCTCGGTCGATTCTCTCTGTCCAGGTCTCTCTCTCTCTCATCATACTCTTTATTTCTTCTACATTAATGGATTGCTTTTGGTTTTTAGGTAGCATGAGTTTGTTATTGGGCTGAATGATTGTGTTAGATTCAAAAGTTTGTGACTTTCTGTACTAGTATTTGTATAAATGTTTTTGAATTGAAAATTTGTTATTAATTTGGTCCTAAATTACGCATTTGTGTGATTTCTATGATATCTTTAATAGATGTCCATCGGAGCTTGGATGCGTGCAATCGTTGTTGCCTCTGCACAGTGCCGTTGCCACCGCGAGGTTGATGTCATGCCTGAGCACAACATCAAGGAGTTGCAGAGCTCTTTCACAGGGTACACTCTGCCGTACCTCTCCCAGCCTCTAGTAATTTTTTGTTGTTTGAGTGTGAGTTGCTGCTTCTCCTACTACAGATGACCATATCTTTGATTTGTTGAATTGTTGTCTTAGAATACCTTTATTTTATTCTAGTAAACCATAAAATTTGAAATTGCAGTAAGTACAGAGGATCAGAAGATAATAAATACAGTTACAGTAATTTTGAGGAGCACTAGGAGGCTTACAAACCCTTGTCTCCTTAGTTTTAAACTTTGCCACCTGGAATTAACCGTAGTAAAGTAAAGTCTGTTGCATTAGGCTGACCCAACCTAAAATTGATGTTTTGGAAACATATACTTCATGGTTTGAAGGGGGTTTGTGTAGTATTGCTGATTTGCGAAACATAGGATCAAGAAGATAATGTATATCATCGAAGAATCAGATATGCAAAAACATAGAATTCACCCACTCAAATTACAATGCTTATTGTAGCATAGAAATAATACCAGGAACTTTTTTGATAATGCATACATCATTGGCAACCACATCATACATAAGAGTCAAACCTTTAATATAGGAAAGAATTAAACACCTCTCCGTTAAATAGAGGAGACCAAAATGAAATTTACAATGTAATGTGATCTTCATGAAGTTTACTACAGTATATTACAAACATTAGCCTCCTGGTGATTTTCAAAATTCTTGAAGAATCCTATCATCAAACCTTGTTTCTTCTTAAGTTTCTTGGGTAATAGAAGTGATTACCTACTGCGTGGTGTGTGCATAGATTCATACCGTGTACAAATACATAGCTTGTTGGTCTACCAATTGAAGCAATTTTACAGGGAAAAGGCTCTATAGGACCAGCGGGAGGTGAAGATCACTGGTTTGACCGCCGCCATGGTATCTGACAAGACATTGGCCTCCCTCCGGCTATGGCTTGCTGTACGTTCCTTTAGATATAGTTTTGTCCAATCCGATATTAGTCCGTTTCACATAGTGCAAGGAAGCTCGGTGGGCTTTCATAAATGGGTCTTGTGTACTGTGTCATCACCCAACTAGTATGGCCATCCCTGTTATGGCCAACAAGCTTTTGTGTAGGGACTTGCAGTAAGCCATCATTTTGTAATCTAAATTAATCTGCTTGTGGACCTACCAATCATAGCTGTTTTATTTTGCAGCTTAACTCAATTAACTTTCTACTATCTATACATGATTTCAATGACCTTTTTTGATTTGAATTTCTATTAAGTCTAAACATTAGTTCCTTTCCCAAAGCCACTCTAGCTTCACTAGAAGTTGGAATTAAATTTTTTTAAGTCCTGAGAGACACACTGACTTCAGGTTACTTACTTGTGTTCTCCTTCCTTCAGTGTTTTTACTATCCAATCACTTGAAACAAATTTGGAAAATGTTCTGGGGTAGAAGTACATTGATCAGATACCTGACTGGAATATTTGATTCTTGCAGGCACATGAGTTTGCCAAAGCTTGCAAGAAATATAGTGGGATTTTAGAAGGCCTTCCGATTATGATTCTGTCCTTTATCTCAAGAATGAATGATCTGTTAGCAATTTTAAAGGAAAAAGTCATAGTTTTATTTGTTTTGAAATAAGTGAACATTAAGTTTACGTCAGTTCTCAGTGTGTGATTATATTTGGTCCTACAATTTTCCCCTGGAAACTTAGAAGGCAACATTAAAATGTAAGACATGCGAGTTTTGTCGTTTTGAGCTACCTAATGAAATGGCATCAAGAATGCCTCTTTTGTTAATTGAGACTATCTGATCTTTTATGTAATCATTGTGCTATTTTCTGGTACTTGAATTTTCTCTCTTGATTGGATTCTCAGAAACTTCTGCATGTTAACCTTAATTTCTACTGTGACTTTTAATTACTAATATTCGGCAATATCATAATCTCTATTAATTACTTTTTTTAACCAACTTCGTATTCCACTGCATAATATACCATCCAGTATAGTCTCCATTAATGGGGGCTTGGGAGTGGTAGATTAGGTACATACTTAAACCTAGGGCATTTTTTGCACAAAGTGGCTGCCCTCAAGTTGAGACCTACGGCCTTGAGATTGTTGGGCTAAATTTTAACCTGAATAAATTTGGAATTATCCTATTTTAGTGTTTGTGGTATATTTTAGGGAGGAAAGTAATATGTCTTTCTTTTCATATATTGCATGAATTTTATTAGAAATAGTCTTTTGTAAGCAATGAGGAACAAGTTTTGGATGCATGTTTCTTGGTGTGCATGGATAACAAATAGTTATTAAAAATCTTAAGTTCTTTTTTAAACCATTCCATGTTATATGTTACACATCAAATATTGTGGCATCTTGTAGTCTTGTTCAAGGCTGTCATGTATTTCCTTAATGACACCCAAAACCCGTCAGTTCTTGAACCTTTTGGTGGAATATTGTCAAGAAGTGATGAAGCTGTTCTGTGACTTCTAGTGACTACCTTCCATTGTGGTTTGTGCCCAAAACACCTTTACTAAACCATTAAATTTCTTGTTTCTGATGTTAGATAAGGAATAAAGCTAGATGATTCACATGTTGTATTTGGATTTTTCAACAAGAGGAAGTTAAAGATTTTAAAGCTACCACCTTATTGAAATGGTTCCCATCCCCAATTTCTAATGTTAAAAATGTGTGCTGATATAAATATCCATAAATAAATGAATTTTCTCCTCCTTTCTGGTGGTTAAAGTGGGGCAAAATTTCACATTTCATAGGATATTTCATTCTACTTTTTCCCTCATTTGTTTCATCTTTGTCTTCTATTTGTATATTTTTGTTTTTTCAATTACATTTGTTGGCAGATAATTGTATATGTTATCTCCATTGAACAACATGAAAACATCAAGTAATTACATTTTTATCTGAAGTTCTTTATTTTTCTGTAACATACTAGTAGTAGTATTACCTTTTATAGGAGGCAGTTAACTTGTATTTAACTTTAAGTTATTCACCAACGTAGGGTTTTGGGGAATCAAAGATTCTTAGGGATGACCAGATGAGGTAGACAGGTTGTATTGCATGCGCTGACAAGGTTGGTTCTTCTGCATTTGGCATCATTTTGTAACACACAACATGCATCTTAGTCTAGAGTTTAGGCATATGCATGAATGCCGTAATTTGTTAGAGCCAAAAAGCAATTATATTCTTTAAAGTTTCCTTTCATTTAAGTTCATAATACACCTTTCACAATATAAAAACATGCATTTGAGGGAAAGCCAATTAAGCAACATGCAAATGTATTATCTCATTATAACTTAGGACTAGAGTCAAGTGGTCAGCCACCAGATCTATGTTAGAATTTCAGAATGGTTGCTGGTGTCTGCATGTGGTGACTATGGTGACTTTTCACTGGAAGATAATATCATGCATGTTTTGTACGGAGGGAACTTGAATATTTTGTTATTATTGTCCACTTTAATGCATTAAATACCCAACCCTTTTAACTTTGTATATCGGGGAGAGAGCTCCTGTGATGATATTTTGTGTGAAGAACCCAAGACCACATCTATTTTCAGAACCTCATTAGATTTCATAAAAGTCTTGTCTGGTTTGCTGCCTTTGTTTGCTAGTATGATATTGCTTTCAAAGTCCCATGATTTTTGTTAGCTGCTGGTAGCCTTATCTCAACAGGAAGGACGGGTCTAGAAGACACAGAAACCATAATCTTAAAATGTCTTATTTTTTTGGTTTCATAGTGTTCCAGTTGAGTGATTGTCCATAGTTTATAACAACACTTCTCCTTTTCCCAGATGAAACCGATGGAACGTGATACATGTATGCTGTTTTTGGAGGTCGGCCTCATCATCTATGCTCCAATTTTTTTTAACTGCAAGAAATGTTACCTTACCCATAGATAGTATTAATAGCTGTCCTTGATTGGATTTATGTTTGGCCATTTGTACAATCTCTTGGAAGCCAAATCATTTTATACAGTGGATGAGTTATTCTTAATTTTTTATGCATCAATGTTGACAATGGTTGTTATTATCATGAAATATCTCTGCAGAAGGGTCTTCCTTGGTTTGAATCTTTCATGCAACATAGATATGTTTTCTTGATTTGGTTTCTGATACAAGGTTTTTTATTGTTTGTTGTACTAGAGCTTGGTCTGTCCGGTCCGAGGTGACTTTGTTAGCAGTCCTTCAAAGTGATCTTCATGTGAATGGACAAGCAAAGTTTTGTAATTCATTCTGGCATAATTTCGTCAAGTACTTTTACATTCTATAACAGGAAATTGTTTTCGACTTTCCAGCTCCGATGAATATTTTTGTTGAATGTGAAAAGAATCTAATGTTTCTTATAATTTGTTAATGCTATATCAGTACATTTTTCCCTTTCTGGAAAATTTCAGTCACCTTGGGAGTTCTATACCTCTCTAGAAGCTTTTGGCCTAGACTCTGCTTTCCAATGCTAATACGATAGATGCATGATGTTATTCTGTAATATAAAAAAGGTGCTCCCGGGATGTTAGAAAAATAAGTGGTAGGCAACTCTACCCTTTGGTTTGACATCGAGATTTAACCTTGGTTTTGAGTAGTTTGAGGATGAGTGATTTAGTATTACACAATTAGCCTCATTCTATTACGATTCCAAAGGGTTTTGTGCATGGTCCACAATCTGTTAGAGAAGAGCTAGAGCTAGGTACAAAGCCAATGCAGGTCCCAAGATTGTATGGTGGTGGTATCGTTATATTGAATATTTTTTCCTCCTCTACTTATTCCCTTCCCCCTGATTTACCTCAAAATGAAAGTGAGAATTTATCTGATGATCGTCTGGTCTCGAGAATGAGTACAAAGTATCTTGCTGCTGCCAAAATAATCTTCCTGTGTCTACACCTACCTCTGGCCTCTGCCAGGCATAGTCATCTGGTATGCGAAGTTAATACAAAGGATGACTGAGAAAGATTCCTGCTAACGAGATTATTTGCACCTTAGTGTAGTTCGCAATTATGATTTCTTTCCTTTTCCACCACCAAGTTGGAAAAATCATTAAAAGTAGCAAGAGGTAGGTTTAGGTATGGTACTACGACATCTTATTTTTTTTATAGGAAAGTATTCATTTAATCGATCTTGAGATTTTGGCACTAGCCAGAGATGATCCTCTTTGAAGATCCGGTTTGGCCTCACATGACGAGATATCTAAAAGTTTTTTGAATTAGTCTCAACTCTCAAGTTTCTTGAACACCCTCCAAATAAATATAAAAGGATGTTAACATAGTCTTCAAAATGGTATTGTTTCCCATGTCAACTTTCAGATGAAATTAGCCAGATGATCAGAATGCTCAAGGAATCCCATAGAGTATCACCATTAACCAGAGCCATCATTACCAAGATATCATCTACAAGTATCATCGCACTGCATTTTGCAAGCTCCTCATTGAGTTAATTAATTGAGAATAACATAGTTAGGAATAACATCAATGATTTTGAGTCCAGAGGGCCATTACCGACTGAGGTTCTGTTAAAAGAGCTGATAACCCAGCGTGGTTTTGCTCTCTTGAATGTACTGTTCAACCCTGACGCAATCCTTTTGGAAACCACATTCTCTTGCTGTTGAATCCAAGTTCTGTTGCCAGAGGTTTGAGTGGTGTCAGTCATTCCATTTTTCCACCAAGGAGTACTTTATATCCAACGCGGAGGTAATCCTCAAAATTACCAAGTTTCAGATTGCTTGGAGTGACTTTAACCGGATGAAATCCGAGCCTAGAGATGGAACGTCATTGTGGTCCAGGAAGCCATGACTCCAGTCAATTTTTGAAAACTCCACGGTTCAAACTGTGGGGATCCATTCCCCCTCAATAGAGTGACCCAGTCAATTTTGAATATTGGGAAAATTCTGACTCCGACTTTGTCTGTGCTATGATGTGCATCACCATCAAACAATGGATGAACTTGGCTCCACATTTTCTACCTCAATCCAGCTACAACCAGCTTCCTTCCTCACCCTTCTCTCTCTCATTAACTCCCTAACAGCACCGACATCTCCCCACTTCCCATAGCGTGCATAAATGTTGGACATGAAGACATAGACAAACTCATTGTCACCATCAAGTTCAATTACCTTCGCTGCTGCAACCTCTGCAACTCCTATATCCCCACAAATTCCACAAGCACCAAGCAAAGCCCTCCAAACCGATCCACAGGACTCAAAACCCAATTCATTTATCATCTTCTCTGCCCTCCACACCTCTCCTTCTTGTCCCATAAGCCTAAGCATGGAAGAACAGTGCTCAGCAGTCAGCTCAATCTGATAATCCATTATCATTGCTTGAAGGTATTGGTTTGCAACCTCCAACGACATTTGATTATGGCAGCATGCTGATAAAACATTGAGAAAGGTGATTCCATCTGGTTGTAAATTTTTCATCATTTTCAACTGCTCAAAAAGTTGAATCACCTTGGTAGAATCACCATTGTGGGCGTAGCCCGATATAATTGCATTCCAAGTTACCAAGTTCTTATTGGAAAGTGATTTAAACATCCACTCAGCTTTCTTCATCTGCCCACATTTGGAGTACATGTCAATCAGAGCACTCCCAACAACTATGGATCCATCCAAACCATACTTCAGGGTACAACAATGGATAATAATCCCCCGTGTAAGAGCTGAGAGACTTGCAATGCCACTTAAAATGCTTGAAAATGTGAACCGATCCATCTGTATGTCACTTGAGTGCATTTTACTGAAAAAATCCAGCGCGTCTAGTGCTCGATCCCTGTTTACAAATCCTGTTATTATCGAATTCCATGAGGATGAATTTGGGTTTGGCATATTCAACAAAATTTCAACGGCATCTTCTATGTTGCCAAACTGTGCAATGCCATTCATAAGCTCATTGTATGAGATTGTATCCTGGTTTGGCATTTGATGGAAAAATCTGAACGCTTCTTCAAGTCTTCTGTTTCTAGCAGTTGCCGCGATCACTGAGTTCCAAGTTATACAATCCTTATCAATCATCTCGGAGAACACACGAATGGCCTCCACTACAGATCCGCATTTTCCATACATGTCAATCAAGCAATTTGAAACTACTATACTAAACTCCACACCAAATTTAACAATCTGGGAGTGAATTGACTTTCCTAATTGCAATAAACTTAGTTGGCCACAGGCAGCCAAAGCAGCCGTGAATGAGAATGAATCGGCACGAACCTCAGAACTTTCCAGCTGAACGAACAACCTCAATGCCTTACTGAAATACCCAGAATGCACGTACCCAGAAATCAAAGAATTCCAAGAAACTACAGTTGGTTCAGGAATTTCAACAAACAATTTGTGAGCATCATTCACTGACTCAAATTTCATATAGAAATTGATCAGAGCAGTAGTGACAAAGGCATTTGAAACAAACCCAGATTGGAGAATGTGGCAATGAAGCTTTAAGCCATCAGAATAGCAGCCAAGATTGGTACATGCCCTGATCAGGTGGACCATAACATAGCCATTTGGTCTGCTACCATAGTTATACATTTGAGAGGCCATTAACAAGGACAATTCGGAGTTGGGGCCATTTTGGTGTAGGGCCGAAGTGAATTTGGTCCATGATTGAACGGCATTTCTTTGAGGAATTCCCGTGTTTGTGCTACTGTAATTTGACAAGAGATTAAGGGGCTGCTTTGGATATCTTCGGTACTCATTGGCTCCCTTCAAGAGATATCTTGGCATAGCTTTTCAAATTTAACATTTTCCTCCCAATATTAACTCATTCCAATCATTTCTGGTAGCTAAAGGACGAGCTTAAAATTCTTGATAAATACCCTAATTTCGATGGATTGGATCGAAAAACAAAATAGTCGGGATGTGTATAAGTTAGGCTAGATACCCTAATCGTTCAACCCAAAAATAATTCCATAATCAAGAAACTATTTCTCCCAATTATGACCAACTTACTTTATTTACACCCTAAAATATTTAAATTTTTTATTTTTTATTTTTAAATATGAGATTTCTTACATTACACCTTTAATGTATTAAAAAAATTATAATATGTCCCTTTCAATTAATTTTTATTGCTTATTCTATTAAAATCTACCCAATTAAAGTTAATAGAATGAGTAATAAAAATATTATATTGTAATACTTTTAATATATTAAGATAAAAAATTTAATCTTTAAGAGTTTAAAATAAATTTTATAAAATTTTTTAAGGTGCAAAATAAAATTCACTCTTGTGAGAATGAATATCTAATACATGATAAAATCAAATCCAAATCTCACCTTGGAGCAGCTTTCATTCTGCTGGCTAAGTGATGTTGCTTTTCCAAATAATGAGGCATATTTATTCGTCCTCTCATAAGGGCCCACCCAAGACGTGATGTTATTATAATGATATTTTTTAATATTACTTTTATTTATTTTAAAAATTAAATTTTACATTTATTTTGACTATATATTTTTTATCTAATTTTTTTGGTTAGTGCACCGTCACTTAAACACTAGTGATTCGTTTGGTATGATGAAAAAAATAGAAAAATGAAAAATTAGAAAAATAAAAAGTTAGAGGAATAAATAAAACATCATATTTAGTAAAGAAGGAATGAATATAAGAAGGATGAAAAAGTTGATGGATTAACATTTCTTTCAACTCACCAAAATTAATCTCTCCAAAATTAGAAAAAAAATGATAAAAAATTTATTGAAATGTATCTTATTTGTCTATATATCTTTTTATATATACATATATTATGTATATATTAATTTCATATAAAAATACAATGATAAATATGTACATATATATATTTTTAAAAACTTTAAAAAGTAAAATTAAAATTAAAAAAAATATTTTTTCCATCTTAGTAATAGTAAATTTTTTGATTTAACGTGATAACACAACTCGAACTCGATACGAATTTTATGACACGAACTTGATTATAACTTAAACCGAATTTGAAAATGACCTGACACGCAAATAAGAAATATAAACGGCTCATATCCAGTTCAATCCCATCAAACTCAAAATTGAGACCATCAAACCGTTTATTTAAAATAAACACTTTCTCTATTTTTTCGTCGGTAACACGAAACTAATATGTTTAACATGGATTCAATTAAGTAAAAATAGAATATTAGCGTTAAATTTTTTATTCAAAATTTATGTGGGTCAACACGAATATGAACTCGAACTCGAAAGCGAACGCGAACACGACACGAAAATAAACAAATCAATTCAACACGACACAATTAGTTAAATGAGTGAAGTTAACTTTGACTAATGTTCGACACAAATTCGAAATAACTCAATACGAACATGACAAGACACGACTTGATTGTAACCCCTAATCTTAACCAGCATAAAAAAAAAAAAATTATTTTCCATCAATCTTACCAAACACAAAAAAAAAAAAAAAAAAAAAATAAATATATATATATATATATATATATTATTCCTACTTTCCTTCATTGAAAAATAGAAAATATAGAAAATATATTCCTCTTATTTTTATTTTCTTCTATTTTTTATCTTCCTTACTAAATCGAGCACAGAGAAAAATATAAAATTAATTAAATAATCCATTAATTTTCACAATAGAAAATTTGGAACAAGGCAAACGACCGACAGCATACGTACAGAGGGGGGCGCGTGTTTGTTGGCAAGTATGCTTGGCTTGGAATTGAAGGCACATCAACATATAGGCGTTGACAGTTGAAGCCAACAGGCATTATGGCTGGGCTACTGACCCTGAAAATCCTTTAAAATCAAATTCAAATTCAAATTCATTTTAACAAAAAAATGAGCATATATTTATCATAATACTAAAATCAAGAATCTTTATTAAAATATATGCAAGAGGATTTAAAGGAACTTTTGAGAAAAAATTTTAACTTTTGATAATTTTAACTTATTATTTATGGATTTGTCTAATTCATTCATAAATAAATGAGTTTGGTACTTATATTAATTAACTAGTTATTGCATGTACCTAAAGACACAACGTAATAAAAAATAACAAATAATAAACATATTTATATTAATATCGAAAATCAAATTACAAACATAGAAAAAGATAAAAGAATTTAAGCATCGGTTTGTAATAGGGATGAGAGGTGGTGGGTGACAATGGTAGTAGTAGGAGACGATGATAGTTGTGGTGAGCGACAGCGACAACGGCAGTGACAGTGGTGATAGTAGTAGTGGCGGTGGTGGGGCAGCGACGTTGGTTTGATTGTAGTGGTGGTGGTGACAAAGGTGGTGGTAAAGGCGGAGGCGACTATGGTAATGGAGGCATTAGTGGCGATGGTGGGAATGGTGGTGGGGGGGGGGTGCGGCAACGATAGTGGTGGTAATGGGGGCGGTGGCGGTGGCAGCGACAGTGGTGGTGGCGACGGTGATGGGCGAAGACGGGTGACGGTGGAGGTAGCGGTGGTGGCAATGGAGGAGTGGTGGCTGTGGCGGCAGCGGCGGTGGTGGTGGAGGTGATGACATCGCCACCGGTGGGGGTAGGCGTGGTAGAGGTAATGGTGGGATAATTTCAAATATTATTAATTTTTTTAAAATACTTGTGAGAAATAATTTTTAGAAGTAATTTTAAAAAATCACTCCAAACACACCCTTAAGGTACTATTTTTCCTATTAAATTTAGGGTGTTAAATATTAGTCGTTAGATTAATATTAAAATAAAATTTAAAGTGATCTCAATCGCGAATAGTAAAAGTCATTTTGTTTATCTTTTGAGATTTGAATTGTAAGCTATTTTATTTTAATTAATATGAGTTCTAAATGAGTTGAATAATATAATTTATTTTAATTAAGTGGGTTAAGATGAATTACAAATGAATAGCTATTGGGTTCAATATTTATCTTTCTATTAAATAATAAAATTAAATAAACATACTAATATATCAAAAAATACACACATACACTAATTCACCAAAACATACACACATTAAATATATTTATATTTTTTGTGTGTTAGTAGTATATGTGTGTGTATTTTTGGTGTATTAGTGTGTATGTTTTGGTATATTAATGTATATATTTTTAGTGTATTAATGTATGTATGTGTATTTTAGTGTATTAGTGTATATATTTTTGGTGTATTAGTATGTGTGTGTGTGTGTGTGTGTGTTTCGGTATATTACTGTATATATTTTTAGTGTATTAGTGTGTGTATGTATATTTTAGTGTATTAATGTATATATGTGTGTATATTTTTAGTATATTAGTATATGTTCAAATTAAGAATTTTAATTATTTTATGAATTAATGGATTTAATTCAACTCGTCATGATTCAACTCATTATAACTTGTTTATTGAACGGGTTGAAAATAGGTTAAATTTATTTTTCAAGTTATTTTGAACCGGTCCATAACCACCTCATCTCATTTATTTGTCACCTCTATCCTTGACTCATAGATTTAAAATTTGAGTACTACGATAAATATTTTTGACTAACCCAATAAGTATGCTTTATGATTAATTGTGTGTATTCGAAGTTTATATCACAACATAAAAAAAAATAGTCGGGACGATTTTTAAATATTGGAAAATTAAAAGGGTTGACCAAATGGTAATAAAAAGTTCGTGTACTTTTGAATCAAAGCAACCAATTATTTGCAGATCACTCTCTTAAAATTCTAAGTTAATTACTCTGTGCATTGATATTGTAGGGACTAGTCGGGTCCCATACTGAAGATGATATAATTTCACGTAGGAGAAATCACACTTTGTTGCAAAAAAATTTAAAAATTTATATTTTAAACCCTCAAAAATTAAATTTTTTACATTATACCATCAATACATTAAAAGTATTATAATATAGCCATTTTATTCGATAAAAAACTACTCCATTAATGTTGAGAAAATGAGCAATAAAAGTTAGAGTAATATTATTTAGACCTAAAAATTTGACATAATTTATTGATATAATGATGTGGTTTCAATAAAACCATTAGATTAATACTAAGTTCTAATGTTTGATGGACCCTACAGTTAATCTAAAGGTTATAACAAATTAGGTCAGTAAATTAAGTTTCAATAACATTGCTCTAAAAGTTAATTGAAGAGTGATATTAAAATATTTTTAATATATGGAAGGTACAATACGAAATAAAATAATTTTGAACAATGTTATGTTTACTAAATTATGAATAATGTTATATTGACCAAATTTAGAGTACAAATAACATGACAACTTATTATTTTGAGTTTTTATTGGGACCCAAATGACATGACACCAAATAAAGAAGTTTAAGTCAACTGTCATGTCATTTGAGTTTAAAATTTATTCTCAACATTTGATCAGTGTAGTATTATTGCTAAGTTATTTAGTGTTAGTAGTTGGATTAGTGAGGTCAACTATTTCCACCCAATATTCAATATATAAGATTTTGACACATTATTTAGAAAAAAATATTTAATAAATAAATTTGGAAAGTATATTTTTATGTAATTAATTTTGGGGTTCAAAGTGAAATTCTCCCTTTCACGTACGACATCAACTTGCATGCACATGCAGATCTGTCAATTCTTTTAGCTACTCCTTCACGTACCACGTTATTACTTCTTATAGCTTCTCAATAGAATAAAGAAATACTATTTTTGGTTTTTTTTTTTTCTAATCATGGGATAGTGATGTGATTTAATTCTGTTGCGGTGATTACAACCTTTAGATTTTTTTATTAGACCTTCGTACCTTGGCCGTTATATTAATAAATTATGTCAATTCCTAAGGAACAATATCATTACTCTTGAGAGTGATCTTATTGAAACGTAATTTGAAGAGATAATGAATTGTTATAAATAATATAATAATAAATTTATTAATGTTACAATGTGATTGATCATTAAATGTATTTTACTATCATTTCATTAATGACAACTCATTATGTCTCTAAATTATGTTCTACTCTCAGTGGTGAAATTCCAGGCAACACGAAGGACCCAAAACAAGGTTGCTCATATGCTTGAAGCCTATACTAGAAGTGAGAAATTTAGGGGCCGTTTGTTTTGAGTATTAGAGTGGTATAAGGAGGTGATATTAGAAAAATAGTACGTGACACTCATCTTATACATTGTTTGTTTGACATTTTATAGTCAATACTATTTTTCGAGTCGTAATATCAACCCGCTATGAATAGTAGTCATAATGTCTTATAGAAGGTCTTAATGAATACCACCTAGGGATGGTATTATATTCTTGGTATAAATATTATAAACTAAAAAGACCAAAATGACATTCGTTACAATTCTCATATAAAAGCCTAGTTGTAAATTTTGACTTTTTAAAAGTTAAAATTATTTTTTACATTGGTTAGTCACAATTGTTGACCTTTTTAAGTATGTATTACACATATAATATTTGTGATAAATAAACAAGGAGAATGATGAGATTATAATGTAACATCGGGTATAATATACTATTAGATCAAAATAAAATGGATATAAAATTTTATACCACTTAAATTTTATACTCAAAACAAACATGCCTTTAATGTACTAGGAAGGATTGCCTCCCTCAATCTGTGATACATATTGTTAGGATGGAAGCTAGAAGTGGAGTAAAATGAGTGAATCAAATTGTAAAGAGCACTATACTTCCTATTCATAGAATCTTATTTTTCCAGACAAAAATAAAATAAAATAAAGTAAAAGTTGTTGGATGAGAAAGTCAAACGTAATTCCCGTGCCCACTTCTGTTTTGCCCAATACCGGGCTTCCGTACTTTGGTGTGTGCTTTGACTGGCGGCGCCACCACCACAAGAAGTAGAAATACTCTCTCCACCACTTAAAAAACTTACCCTCTACTTCTGTCTCTCTGTCTCCCTCCTCTTCACTAATTCTGTCTCTCTCCTCTTAACTAATTCTGTCGCTCTGTTTCCCTCTCTCCTCTTAACTAATTCTGTCGCTCTCTTTCCCTCTCATCCTCAACTACCCTACCAAAAATTAGGGCTTCTCTCATTCTATACAGAAAAATATTCATTATAAGGTTTATATTATATAGTAATGCAATATTGTATTAATGACCGATAATGGATTCAATATTTACTCACTCTGTACAATTGGTCCAAAGTTGGAAAAATTTACATGCAGTCCCACACACTATATATAGGAGTACATACTCATTTGTTGGAGTGTAGAGCAAAACATTTCACTGAAACAACGCCCCATTCTTCACTTAAGCTCTCTCTCTCTCTCCCTAACACATACAAGCACTCACTGACCCATGTAGTTAAACTCTCTCCCCCTAATACACACATAGATCTCTTTGTCTGTCTTCCGAAACTAATAGTACTACAAGAACAACGCATCTCGTTACACACTCTCTCTCTCTCTCTCTTTCACACACACACACATTGATCTCTTTGTCTCTATTCCGAGAATAATAGTACTACAAGAACAACCCATCTGATTGAATTCTCTGTCTCGCTCACACACACACTCCCAAACAGCTAGGGATGTCCATGATGGACAATGGTGATAAGCAGCCTAGTGTCATGCATTACTGTAAAATATGTAACAGAGGATTCGGATGTGGTGGAGCTCTTGGTGGACACATGAGAGCCCATGCTATGGGAGATGTAAACACTCGAATGTACGAACATCCGATCTCCAGCTTCCGAGACAAGCCCGACGGCAACCACCGGCATTCTTACTTCTTACGAGCACGCGAAGATTCCGGCAAAAAATCCTCCACATGGCCTCTCACTGAACATGGGAAATGTACCCTCCTAGTTGACAGAGCATCACCCATTTCTTCGCCGGCCGGTTCAGAAGATCATCTTCTTCGCTTGAATCACAGGTCTGGGAAGGAGTACATTTGGATTGAAGAAAGAAAGTTGAAACAAGCCAAATTACCAGAGAACTCCGAGACCTGTGATTCAAGCGAAGAGGAAGATCTTGCCAACTGTTTGGTAATGTTATCAAACAAAACTTTCGATTCGTCTATTAAGGAGGAAACCAAGGCTAATGAAACGGCTAAAGGGACGTTCCAGTGCAAAGCTTGTAAGAAAGTTTTCAATTCCCACCAAGCATTGGGAGGACACAGAGCGAGTCACAAGACAGTTAAAGGGTGTTTCGCTTCAAGGTTCGATAATCTCAACGATGAACAAGGTTTTATCACCATCACCAATGATCATGATCAGTACTTCACACCCATAAAATCTGTTACGGCTCCATCGCTTGATCTTAATCACCCTGCACAATACCCATTTGCTACAATGTCGAAAAGAAAGACGAAGGTACATGAATGCTCGATATGTCACCGCGTTTTCTCATCAGGACAGGCCTTGGGTGGACATAAGAGGTGTCACTGGCATTCCTCGACTGTGCCAGAGAGTAGTTTTAATGGAATCTTTCAATATGAAAGACAGCAACCTTGGAAGAAGCCAATGTTCAGAAAGTCCCAACCCCTTGATCTGAATCTCCCTCCGCTGCTTGATGACACAGATGAAGCTGATCGAAATGGAGACAATAGAACAAAATCTGAAGCTAGAACAAGGATTTTTCTGCAACCACTGGTAAACAAAGAAGTTGATGACAACCAAAAGATTCAAAACTACAAACTTCAGAAGATAGAAAACATGCATGGTTCATTGCATTATTTGAATGGGGGAGAACATGGTGAAATCAATCTGGGTAAACTGAGTGATCTGAGAGACATGAATGTGGATGGAAGTTCTTCTTCTCCATGGTTGCAGGTGGGAATTGCTTCAACCACTGATCAAGGACTACCCCATGAGGTGGCAACTACTGTAAACTTCTTTTAGCAAGAAACTGTAATTATCACTTTGCTCTTTTTGTGTCATTATTGCTTGTTCATCAAACCATGATTTGTTGTGGTCGTTTTTATTATAATTTGTTAGATGGTTTGATGTAATATCTTTACCAGTAATAGTGTTATTGTAATGGTTACTGTTGGACATGTTGATTGAGACTCTATTACTTTATATATCATTAAGTCGGTAAATATGATTAAATTTTTAGGTGCTAATTAATATTACTCGTTTTTATGTATTAGTGACACTAAGTAAACACAATGAATTGCTCTGGAATTGAATATCTTCGATGGGGACTGAAGGGGAGAAATTTATTAGAGGCTTGAATCTATTATCATCCTGTTGTAACCCTAAACAATTTTTTTGTCAGGTATTCACTCTGTAACAATATAAATATCAAGCTTATTCTAGATTCATCATCCTTTATATCAAGCGTTCTTAATGATTAAAACATGTAACTGGAGGTCAAAATATGAAAATTACTAAAACACGACACGAGCAACACGGTTATGCTCGAATAATTAGCGAATTGTCTACCCTCAGATACAATTTGGGATCGAGTCTCACCAATTTCATTACAACTGGATCCATTGTTTGAACAGTATGCATATTTGAATATGATTGCAGGTCTAATATTTTTCAACCTGATGATGTATCAATCACCAGTGTCTTATACTTTCTTATGTGCAAAGAATCACGCTATGATTTTTTGATGAGTAACATCATATTATTAAATTAGCATGTGGGCAGGCTGAGAGGAGGTAGTCATACCTAGGAAGCCATAAAATATGTGGACAATCCTCCAATACCAGTCTGTTCATAATCACACAGCCCATTCGGATGTTTTGTGTGTCGCAATTGCTCCAATATTACCTTGGTTCAAAAGAACTTCTAGTATCATTTTTGTTTTTGTAGTGAAGAGGGTTAGAAATTGTAGTATCTCATAAATTCAAGATATGTGTCTACACTATGAGGGGATAAATAATAAAAATTGACAGCTTACATGGTAGTGAAACCTAACAAGGTCCAACAAGATTGATGCGGACAACAGTGTCGCGGTAGAATTCTAGCGTCGCAGCAGGCACTAGTATCGTGACAACACTCCAGTGCCATAATAGGCACTACTAGCACAAAGACGAAACACATCCTCATCACATTGAGGATGTGATGAGGCAACATTGGCGTGACTCGCCTTCCCCACTATGGACATAAGGCACAAAACTGGGACTTCATCATAGTTGACGAAATTGGTATCCTCAATTTACTGGACACCGTTGCTCGAGTGGACCATTGACTAAGAGGAGGGGTCCTCACCTAGGGATAGGACAGTATAACCTTTCTCAAGGGAGGACTGAGCAATGGAAATGGACGAACTTGGAAGTTGGGATAGGATCTTAAAGGCTTAATTTGCTTGAACAGGCCTCTTGGTGTATAGGTTACTGTCCACTAGGACGTGCTTGATTGGAATCTGGAGGGATTCTTAAGGTAACTAAGGTTATTGATATAAATCAACATATGGGATAATGAGACATGTGGATTGGTAGCTGAAGGAACCGAAACAATGTGAGTTTCTTCTATTGGGCACCTTGGCAAATGTCTCAATGAAGAGTTTAGAGAGGGAAGTGAGGACCCTAGGTAGAACTAGGGGCATCGTGTAAATGGCCCTCTGAAGGTCATCGTCTTATAATGGCCAGTCACAATCATTTACCTTGGAAGCCCCCTTTTGCCTCAGCTTTCGCACCCTCCCCAAGGGCCGCATCTAGGTTGTGTATGGAAAAACATCACATTTGCCTAATTAATGTTGGGACACGTGGCACTATGCTATAAATACTAGTATTATTTACCCATTAGAGAGGATTGATTCATTTACTACCCGACTGGTGAGAGCACTTATTCTCTCCACCTATTTTCTACTCAATTGGTTAGTTCTTCGTTAATAGGCCGCTCGAATTTCTTCTATCTTATTCACTTATCCTATTCATCCCTTTTGATTATCCTTGTCATAGATATGTGTATCAACCTCTTTTAACTTCTTACCAACAAAAAAAAATGAAAAAAAATAGAGGTGGATATCAATATTAAAAAATTATTAACTTCATTTAAGTGGTTTACAATCACCCTCATGATTTTCTGGCTATTGCCTGCCAATGTGAAGTCTAAAGTTACCAAAACAATTGGGGAATGTGCACTCTAGTTTTTCTTGTTGGCCACAAAAATTGCTATGGACCACATTGATATCCCAATTATAATCAAATTTAAATTGTTACTTGAGGTATATATATTCATTGAATTAGTTACAACCCATAATGCAATAGCCATAACTTTTTTGCAATATGATTACGAATAAATAAAATAAAAACTTAGCTATATTCACAAGTAATTGTTGCATTTAATCGAAGAATCTGATATAAGAGAATTATATTTGATGATAGTTGTTGTGACACATCGCTTTCCTTCCATTGTTTAGTGACAGAGAAATGAAATGTAGAAATCAGAGAGTAAAATAAAATGTTGGAAATAAATAAACGAAAGCCTTTGGCACTCCTTGATCTGAGAAAATAAAAAAAAATTATTGTTTGATGGTCGGAAGGACTCTAGATTTCTAAAAGCCTTTGTTTTCTAATGCAAAACAATCAACCATCATTTGAAATTGAAGTTTCTTTCTTGTCTTCCATTACCATTTAAAGCCTTTCAACTTCATGAAACATACCCCTTGGCATATGGAAAACATGAGGAAATGTCTATATATTATAATGGAGGACCAGAGACAGTACATGTAGGTGATCCCTTGCTCAAATATTGGGGAATAATTCATTTGTGCATCAATGCTGATTGTGAATGGTGTTCCCTGGGTCCCCGTGATCTCCACAGGTTAGGCCCTGCCATTACAGCTTGGAAGCTGATCTTTCAGCTACCTATCATGGCTCCAAAATATATATGGTGAAATTTCATGGTCCTGTGAGAGTTGTAAGTGCCATGCATTTATGCTTGTTAATGTACTGGAAAGTGCGGATCGATGTTGCCAACCCAAACAACAGACAAAGCGTAAACTTGCACATCCTATATTCTAATCGCTTGACAATATAAAATTACATGCACTCGTGCTTTGCATTATAGCTATTATTATTTCAATGCACGTGTGATTGAAATGATTTCTCGTTACCAAAAGAAAGAACAATGGATGTTTATCAACAATTCTTGGCTTGAGAAAAGTGCACAAAGATGCTCCTTAACTTGTTCTATGGCCTTCTACATGCATGCATGCAAACTGTAGTACTCTATGCACAGCATTTGCATAAGCCTGAATGCATGCATACATGCATTTGATCGAAAGCTTCACATGTAAATTTTTGATATCCAAGAGGGGAAAATGATAGAACAAAAAGGACACAATGGTGTGACATAGAAAATCTTGTGTGCTATAACTATGATACTCGATCGGCCCACCAATCGAGTAATGACCTAAGTTTTAATTTTTATTGACACATCGATCATGCAATTTTTAACATCATGTGGTTAAATGTATGGGTACATAAACAAAAATACAACATAAACTTCGGATGCATGCACTCATGCCTTTGCATAATCTTAAATGACCCATCAATTATGCGATCTTTGTTTTCCGAGCTTTCAACTAATGATGTTAAGTTATTAACTTGATAATGATAATTTTTAAAATTTTTACGAAAAACGTTTTAAACATAATTTGCACGTAAACTGAAATAGACATGATTTACGTAACATTTACTCATCAATATGAGCATTGGGGGGACATATATATGTGTTTAATGCCATATAAAATATCAAAATTCTCATTAAAACAACTAAAATGAGGTGATTTTGGACATGCAAACATTGGGAGCCAAACAAAAGCTGTTTGTTATTCGGCTATAGCAGCAAGATGTGTGGGTTAGGACCCATGTGGGGCCTTGGAAATGGACCTCATTAATGGATGGGCTTTTCGGATAGAGATAGGCCTGTATTATGAAGAAGATTCATGTAAGAGTCCAACGTCAAAGGGGGTCCATTTTTCTTCCTAATCACTGTCATTTGCAATTTGTGCAACTACCACTCACATCAGCAACTAGCATCTTACAAATGGGATTGGAACACGTCAACGAAACTTAAAATTAACAAGTATAGATCTTTTAAATCATGCTTGCGATGGTTGGTGGGGGTGGGGGTGGGGGTGGTAGAATTCGACCATGGCAAACCCTAAATGTGAACGCCAATTTGTAGAATTAACATGGATCCATATGACTCTTTTCTTCTTATAAACTTCCAGTGATTTAAGTTCTCGGCATTGATTTTGAATCATAGTTATCGAGTTTCATACAGAATCCTTAATCGGATATTTAAGCTTTGTTCTTAATTCTAATAGTGACACCAATAAAACTTGTATGTATGTTATAATCTTGTCTAATTCAAGTAATAATTTTTGAGTCCCGACATTACAACCATTATAGAGAATTTGAATTGGTAATGTTGGTAGACCTTGACAAAGAATAATTACCTTAACGAGCCAATGAGGGACTTCGAGACCGATTTCGAGACCCTACCTACGAGGATGTTTAGGAACATTGACTTCAGAAATTATAGTGGGTTTTTTACTAGAACCCGACTTATCGGGAAAAGGATACGAAACTAATCGAATTACTATAGACAATGGCCCCTACTAATAATCAATTCTAAACTCCGTTGTGAGTACAAAGTACGACCAAATAAGAAATAGATAACTGAAAAATGCTCTAGAATGCGAAGCTTCAAGATGTGATAGGCTAGAGCACTAGCCGTTTTCGTAGGTTATATTAGCTAGAAAGTATAGTTGGCATTAAAATTTTCTTTCGGAGGGAAGCGATAGAATTAATTCGACCATGGAATAATTGTGGATGCCAATTTGTAGAATTAACATGGATCCGTATGACTCTCATTTCTCCTTATAAACTTCCAATGATTTAAGTTCTCAGCATTAGTTTTGAATCATAGTCATC